TACACCTTATTATGTCTTGTATAGTAGTGTGAGCCACTGGAGGGTGACATGTGAACAAATAGATATGCTTAATCAGATCTTTTCAAGAAACACACCTTACAGGGGAGAGAAAAACAATTACTGTGTGTTATAGGTTACCGATTTACAATTTACATCATAAATCAATGTCTGATTATTTTAATGCAAAATGTTTTTAGCTTCATTTTATTGCACTAATGGTTTCAATAACACACTATAATTTGCTCAGATAGAGCAATTGAAGAGGTGATTGGACAGCTCTTACAGAAATTTTTAATTACTGTCATTAGTGGCTGCAATCTTATTCTTTTCTATGGAGCTAAGATACAGGTTATTGCATTGTGCCACAAGTGCTCTATGGCCATGAGAATCCAAACTCTCTCTTTCCTCTGAAATGCTTGCTTCTATAAATATGTGTCTGTGCAAGTCTCATCACAATAATTACTAGCATCACACAAACATTAACTAATGTACCCACATGCTCTTTTAGGTAGGTGTGGTGGTACATCCCCACCCTTGGGCCGTGCTATGATCTCTGAAATACTCATTAGGCCTCAGCCTTGACAAACAGCACCTGGGCTTAGCTTCTGTTGAGCTTGTCAGAAACAGTGTCTGCTCCCAGGAGCTTATGCTATCTAGTGAGCTTCTAGTTTTTAAAGAACAGACTTGAAAAGTGACTTTTCTTACCTGAATAACAACCCAACTGAAATAATATTTTTGTTATCAGACTTTCAAAGAAAAGTACTGACCCAAATTGAAGCCAGGATGAAAAATTACTATGAGTAAAGCCAACCTTTATAGGTCTTGAAACCCTATAAACAGCAGTCCTAAGTGAGACCCTTTGAGCCCTCCTGGACCACAGTGGACTGCGACTAGCAGGTCCCTCTGAGTGAGATGCCTCTCAGAGCCCGAGAACTCTCAAGTTTGCTGTACTTGGAGGACCACCACCAAACACCAACGATGGAGCCTGGGCTGATACCCCCACTCCTCAAGGCTCAACCTATTGAGAAGATGCACAGGCATCTGACATGAGTACTTCACTAAATTCGAGGGGAATTTTTCAAGTGTATGTACAAACCTTGTACATGCATTTAGGTCTGTGTGTGTATGAGTGTGAATATGCTATAGCAAATGTAGTATGAATGTTGCTGTCCTAGATTTTTAAGTATTTTAGATTCATAAGGAAGTTAGGCCTATAATTGAGTTGCTGTTGTGCTGTAGAAAGTTCTGTGAGAATCTTTTGTCAAATTGTGTACATTAAGCTATCAATTAAGTGCTGTTAAAAACTTTTAGGCCTAAACCATTGTTCAAGTCTGGGGCTAAGTTTGTCAAGGAGGTCAAACTACTCTGAACCTTGTGACTCAATGGGAACGTCTCCCTTATTCCTTTTTATCCTTAGCCTTTCCTATCCTTACCCTTTTTCCATGTAGATAATTTTTGGTTGATTTTAGTTTTAGATTGATTGATTTTAGATTTCAGTACAATTTTTCTCTGTGTGCTTTAACCATCTAGTAAGTAGAAGAGTAAACATTGCCAACGAACTTTGTTGTGCTTTCACTTTTGTATTAAACCTGCTTTTGCTGATACCTTTGCCAGTGATTCTCTGAGTATCCTAAAACACTCATTCACAACAGCAGGTAAAAATGTATTGCTCCAATTTGAAAAAAAAAAATGGGAGAGAAGCATAAAGTGTGTTGTCCATAGTTAAGATAGGAAGTGTGTAGGAGAACCAGGGATGGGGCAGCAGGAGTCCTGCCTCCAGAAAGAAAAGCTGTGTTACAATGCCAACAGCCAAAATCCGTGGGGTGACATGGAGGACAGCGCCTGTCCTTCGTCCCAGCAGGCCAAAGGTCACATTTATGGAGCTATTGTTGGAGCTCCATGTTCTTGCTACTGCTTGAAGCTCCTAATATGTAAACACCTTTGATTCCCCCACATGGATGCAGAAACTGTTGCACACTCAATCTACTGCATGTCTCTCTGTAATTTCAGCCCCTTCCCTTAGCACATCTTCCAAGGGCCGCTACCATGCACAGACAACTCATTTCAAGGACAGATGAGAACTTTACAGACTATTTTCTTGGAAATGCCTGATAAAATACTCTAAATGATCTTTGCTGGCACGTGAGCCCTGAGGAGTGAGCTCCCTGGTAGCACCGGACAGGCCATGCAGGCCCCAGACTGGGGACTGAACAAGCAGAGATGTTTTCTTTCACTCACATTAGCCTAATTTAAGTGTGGCTGAAAATTAAATGCTCACCTGGGTTCATCTTTGCAGTTCTTCAGTTATTGTTAATAGCTAGATGTAGGACAGTAGTGCTGCCTATGTCTTGACAAACACAGGGAAACTTTTTCCATCACGGTAAAGCCAGTTGGTAAGTTTGTTCTGCCCATCCACTGAGGGCATCTGGGCCCTGCAGGGCAGAGCAGGGGCATGAAGGGGATGAAGATGAAAATAGGAGAAATCACAGTGGCACAGGTCACAACAGCAATCACCTGATTTACAGATCTTAATTTTCTTGTACCCTTGCTATGTGCTGTAGGAAGGGAAGCCCCTGCCCTTCACATACTTCCAATTTCTCTTTTCCCTTTCCTGCTCCCTTCTCCCCAGTCCTCTGTAGAGTATGAGCTGACATACACAATATTCAATAAAATAATTATTTTTCACATATTAGAAAAAGAGCTGAAAATACACTTCACAAAATGTCCTGTCCAGATTCACCACAAAGTCCCTGCTCTAGCCTATTAATTTTAAAGCCATTTGACTACATACATAATTTGAAGATTCAAAGAATGCTGTTTGCATTAAGCATTAAATGGAAAATTAACTGCAGTCTGGAGTTTTGCTTCAGCTAGTACCATCAGTGCTCCATAACATTTCATATGATGCTCTTAAAACCTGTGAAGGTTGGCTGCTTTTCTAGAAAATTCTGATAATAGCGATTCACAATGTTAAGGCTGTTACTGTTGATAAACTGGATCTCTTCTTCCATGTAAGTAAACTAGTATTGGTAGATTTCTTTTTCTGAAAGAAGTAAAACTACATCAAAATTCAAAAAACACCCCGCTCTTCCCAACTGAGCTGTGTTGTTTGGAAACCGGCTGGGTGGAAATCCTCCACTAATGTGGATTTAGAAGAATGGAGTGTGGTCAGGTCTCTGGAGAACTGGTTTAGTTCATCTGCCTTTGTGCATGTGCTGAGAAGCCAGTGGTGCAGGTAAGTATGTAATTATGGGCTTATTTAAAATGGAGATTCTTTTACATGACAGATTGCAGCATGTGCAGGAAGAATAATGCCCACAGAAAACAGAACACCTCCGCCAGGGCTCTTGTACTCTATTGTGCTATAGCCTATTTACAGGCTTTGGCTTTAGAGATGATCTGCGGTTTGTCTTACACGGGCACAGGTTTGTGTGTGGGCTGCACACGCATGGGGCCTCCTCCCTCCTGCCGATTGCAGTGGGGACTCGCCTGCTGCAGGAAGACACCTGGAAACGCTCAGCAGCAACGGTTGCACTGGTATTGAGCCCTGCTCAAACTGTGGGATAAACAGAGGATTATAGCAAACACCAGAGCCACAAATCCCATACAGTTTCTTCAGGGCTTCTCCCATTACTCTTGCTGCCAAATACCACACAGCAGTTATTTTGCTGCATTTAGCGGCTGCACTTGATTTCATGTGCTATTATAAATGTTACCTAAAATGCTTTAAAATCACCGATCTATTTTCTTCTTCAGAAAGTACTTTATTTACAAAGGGCAAGGCAGCCAACTTCGCAAAATTCTGTTGCACTGCTGTACTACCAAAGGGCAGCTAGGACACAGGACCTTGCCTTTCCTGCATGGAGAAGCCCCCGCTGCCCCTGAAAACTGGCAGGTATGGGGGGTTTATTTCAGAGTGGTGAAAACCAATCCACGTTTGGTATATAAAATTAATTTTAAAAGAAAATAGAATTAGAGGACCTGGCGGGACGGGCCTAGGCCCAGCCCCCAACTTCCCCCGCCCCTCCGGCCCGCGCGGCGTTCCGGCAGGGAGCTTTTCGCGCCACAGGGCCAGGCCCTTGCAGCTCCACAAATCCCACACCGCGAATAGGATAAAGAAATGGGCCTCCGCACTGGCCCCTCCGGGGACGTCCCGGGAGACCTGACGAGCTCCTCAGTAGGGGTTGGGGGACGAGCGCGGGGCGATCACGCCGGGTGCCCGATCCCGGGGGGTTGACAGTTGTATCTGCCAGGACGCGGGCGGCAACGCGGGAAAGGCGCCGCCGGGCCCCGCCCCCCGCGGTCCTGGCCGCTTTGGCGCGAACCTTCAGTTCCCCGAGCTCGCCCCGCCGCCACCAGCATGGCTCCGCCGCGCCCGCAGGTGAGGCTGCCCGCCGGCACCGCCGCACGGCCGCAGGTCGCTGCTGTTGCTGCAGGAAGAGGGAAGGCTGTGGCGCTTGCAGCCGCGCTCTCCTGGGACTCTGCGGGGTGTTGCGAACCGGGGCAAGCCAGGCTAAGCCACGCTGCGGGAGGCTGGCGGGGTCGGGCGGGGAGGCTCTTTGGGCTGGGAGGCTCTTTGGGCTGGGCACCCCGGGGAGAGCGGCGTGAGGGCAGCCCCTCCACGCGGGCCGGCAGCCTCGGGCGCCCTGCCCCGCCGCGGTGCTGGAGCTCCCCTTGCCCCGCGCATGGCGGTGCCCTGGCGCGCCTGACTGGGGTAGAGGACGCGCCGTAGGAGCTGCGCTCGGAGTCGGGCTGGCGGCCCGGCGCCATGCGGCCAGTGCCCCCGCACCTGCCCGCCTCCCCAGGGCCGAGTGCGCGGGGGTGACCGTAGGACGGTGGTGTGGCCTTAGGGCGGGGGCGCGGCCCCGCGCGGCAGAGACGGCGGGCGGAGGGGGCGGTGCAGAGGCGGGCAGACGGCCCGGCCGCGTGTGTGCGGGGCGGCACCATCTTAGCGGGAGGCGGGAAAAGCCTAAGGGCACGGGCGTGTCTATCTAGTGGCCGTCCACCGGCGTCTGGGCTGGGCTGCCCCGTGCCCGAGGCCGTCAGGTGCCGGCCGGCCCGCCGCTGGGGATCTCCCCGGCTGGGCGCTCCCTCAGCCGCGGCGGGAGACACCAGGAGCGGCCTCTTGTGTGTGTGGGGCCAGGCCCGGCCGCCGTGCTGTGCCTCGGCAGCGCCGGCGAAACTGAGCCGAAAATCCGCGAGCAGAGCGGTGCTGGGAGAGGACGGAGAGCTCGGAATTCCCCTGGGTGGTTACTGTTTAAGCCCTCTTTGTATTATACAGAGTTTGGCCGTTTCGGTGGGCCCGTGAAGCGGTAGCGCTTGTGGGTGCTGCCGCCTTGGCCTTTGGGTCGATGATAATCTCGGGAGATAAAATGGGTCATTGCCGGGAGAAACATTCCCTGGGAAAGGAAAAACTGAAGCCTATCAAAAAGGATCTTTCAAACCGGTGGCAAAACGACCAAAACAGCAAGCTGCTGTGTCTAGAATAGTTGTTTCAAATCACTTGTGGGTATGATCCGTTGGCCCTTCCTGAACAGCTGCAGTGTATTTAGCGTTTGCCTCAAACTGAAAGCAATAAATCAAAGCAGATCTCTAGGCACTGTTCATGTGCTTGCATTTTTTTCTGTCACTGTCTATGAAGACTGGGGTATGACATGATTTGTGTGTATATTTCCACTTGTCTGTTTGCACAAAAGAAGTGTTCTTAAATACTGAACAAAACTCATCTGTAACAATGATCGGAACTGTATCAGAGTAAAAACCCATTCCCATTTCTAACTCTGGGATTTATTTCAAAGCTGATGTTAGTTATGCTGACTTGCATTCAAGATTGTTAAACATCCTAAAATGTTCAAACCATCTAAACTTCAATAGAAGGATATTCTTAAAAGCTAGTATGCTACAGTAGGTCTCTTCTTAACAGTGTTGCCGTTGTCATTTTACAGCGCCGAGGTTGTTTGGGAAAGAAAAACTTCACAGCCTTCCGAAATACAAAACTGATTCCCATGGAAACATCCTCGTCCTCTGATGACAGTTGTGACAGTTTTGGTTCTGATAATTTTGCAAACACAGTAAGTACAATACAAGAACAAATAAAACTGTATGTGCAGTACTAGTAAAGCGTGCAAAAATGTAAATCTGGTAAAACTAGTAAATGTTTGGTGAACAATTAAAACTACTTGCTCTGCTTATGTTTTTGTATAGTAGTTATAAATCTATGCTATATGCTGTAATTTCATTTCACTCTTCACTTGTGCTTCTAGGTGGTAATTTTTGGAAACAGATTAGCTATTATTTCTAGCCTTTGAAATGTCACCTAACCTGCCTGGTAATTTGCAACTTTGGTTCTGAAACTCCTTGTTAAATGCCTTAACTATGTTTTTTCCTTATTAAAAAAGCTATTTGCTTATACTGCACTTGTAAATGTGAATAATTTTCTGTACAACTTCAGTTAAAGGATATTTTATTCTTCATAGAAATGCAAATTTAGGTCGGATATTGGAGAAGAACTGGCAAAAATTTTTCATGAAGCCTCTGATGATGAATCTTTCTGTGGCTTTTCAGAAAATGAGGTTCAAGATGCGTTGGTAAGACAGCTGATTTTAGTTTGCATTTTTCTATTTGCACTCTTACACATTCTTAATTGAAAAATAATGCCAGCTTCAGCTTGACTCAAATGTTTAGGAAAAGAAGCATTATTGCATTTTACATACAGTCTAAGTAGCCAAAGTTCAATTTTCTTTTTGTCTCCATAAAAACCACTCAAGATTCTGAACTTTACAAGTTCAGAATAAAATCTGCCATATACATTTTGAATTATACCTCTTAAAACTGTCCTTGCTGGATGTTCCTCTGTTGGACCCTAACATTACTGGTTTCCTCAATATGAAGTGTTAAGCTAGCCCATGGACTCCAGCAAACCTGAGAAAAATCTCTGTGTATTTTGACATGCAGTCAGACCTGCACTCTGGCAGCATAACATGAAATGCTGTGTGCCTTTAACAGTAGAGAAATAGTGATAGATGGTGAAATCCGCCTTCCTGCTTTTCCTTGACATCAGTAAAGATCGGTTTTCTTGCTTAAAATGACCAACAGTTGGTGTTTAGAAGAGAAAACAGAAGTAGTAACATGTTTGGCAAAACCCAGGTTTGTCATAACTTCAGAACATGCTGAGGAATGACTAGAAAATAAAAATGTCTGCCTTTAAAGGCAGTTCTCTTTCTCACACCACACAAACTACCTTTGCTGTTAGACCTGCCAGTAACAGCTAAGTCTGCTGCAACTGAAACTACAGTCCCTTTTTGGATGTGTTGCAGCAGTACCATGTGGCTCTCCCTGAGGGGTTTTTATCCCTGTGCTCCCCTCTTCTCTTGCCCTCCCTCCTAAAGTGCACTAGAGCACTAGGACTGGATGTCTAAATTTCAGCCAAATAGCCTCTTTTACCAGCCACAAACAAAATATTGTTGACTGTATTTGATTGCAGAGTAACTCCCTTGGACTTAAATGCTTCCCTTCTGGTTTGTTAACAGAAACTGGAATCGGATTCAGAGGAGAATGATACAAGTGCAGAAAGTGAGGTAGCTCAGAGAGGGCGGAAATGCTCTGTTCCTCTAAAAGTAGCCATAAGGTTTCCACCTCGAAGATCGGAGAGGAGGAAGGGTGAGATAGAACCTCTTCCCGAAACACCAATGCCTGCTTCAGATTCAGACTCTGACACTGAAGACAAGGGTGCCATGTTTTTAGAAAAAAGAGCTTTAAACATAAAGGAAAACAAAGCAATGGCAAGTATTCAGTGTCTCCCCAGGGACTCTCCCTTCTTCGCCTCTCCCTCTACTCTGGGGGGACCTCTTTGGTTAAATGAACTGTAATGGGAGTTTATGTGAGTGCATTAAAAGGAATTTGCATTCCTGATATGTACTTCTGATACTTTATATTCACTGGCATGTGAAAATGCATAGGCTGCAAGCCTAACATAGTAACTTTGAGCATTTCCAAATTATTTGCAGTCACTAGAACATAAATAAGACATAAAAGTAAAGAGTAGAAGAATGACTGCATTTCGTAAAATTAATTGTACTTCTAGCCAATTGCCCTAATAGTTTGTAATAGCACATAAACACCCTTTTAAGCCTCTACTTCATTTTTCTTTCTCTTGTTAGCTTGCAAAACTAATGGCTGAGTTGCAAAATGTTTCTGGTATCTTTGGTGGGAGAAAGTCACTGCCAGCTGTCAGTCATGTGAGTATAAACTTACTGTATTTGTCTTTAGATTTCCAAGAGTCAAATTCTGACTCTCAATTAAAAAGCTTAATGAACTCTGCAAATCAAAGTCCAGTCAGAATTTCACTGCTTCCTAAAACAGGTATCCTCATTCTGTAATTTTCTTTTGATTTGTCACCGTATAAAGCAGAACAGATTAATTCATAAGGGTTAAGTGTCTCCACAGGCCAATAAAACTAAACAAGGTGCTCTGTAAATATGTATTTATACAAAGGCTGGAGATAAGGGGGACAGCTCAGACTTTAAAGCTCAGGCCTGAATATTCTGTGAGTTTGGAGCCTGGCGTTGAGACTAACCTTAAAGAAGGTTGGGTTGTGAATCAGCAGTGTGATGCATTTTACTGCTGGTTTGTTTGTAAGGTGGGTGAAGTTTAAAACAACACTAAAAATCGTAACTTCTCATAGACAGGGGTTCTGCTGCTACATGGGGGAATTACTGTATCTTATACCTGCATAGACACAAACTTGCTTTTGACTGTTTCTCTGTGATTAGCAGAATGCCTGAGATGAATTTGCCTAGGATGCTTTTACCTTGTGTTTTCTGATTGGGACAGGGATAGACATGTCTTTGGGAAAGACAGAAGAAAGGCATCTTTTGGGGAGGAATTCAGCAGGGACTGGAGCTGTCTGGGTTTTTGCCTGTTTCATTAGAGGCTTTTAAACTTTACCAGGCACCAAAGCGACTTCCAAGGCGTTCATCACCCAGATATGCTTTGAGGAGGAACCCAGATCGAAGTTCTCGGCCTCACACAAGGTCCAGGTCCTTGATTGAAGGTCCTCCTACTGTTTTACCAGAAGAGGAAGAAGATGACCAGTACATCTTAGTGAGAAGAAGAAAGGTGTCTGATGAATACCTGGAGGTATGATGAGGGTCTAATTCTCATGTCGTGGGTTGTGAAGGTGGTCTTTTATTCCTTCAAGACAATAGCAATTCATACAGAGTTGATGAGGTTTATCAGTATGCCATGGCCTTGGAAGAAGTACAAAAAATAACATATTGTATGTGTTCTCCATCTTCCCTCCCTTATCCTTGAAAAATCACTTCCTCTTGCACTCTAGCAGGAATTACACAAGATCAGTAGCATCTCTGCACCTTGAAGGTGATCAGTGAACGTGCTAAAGCTGCATTCATATCATATGTCTGTGCAAACTTCTGTTATATCTTGTTTAAATATATGATGGGTGTTTACGGCTTTGGCATTGCTGTGAAAATCCTCACCTTTGTAGAGTTTTTACTGAAACTAGTACTAAAAGTATCGTGTCTTTGCTAATCAGCATGAAGCCCGATCTCCCAGGAGGGGTCACCGTGGTGCCATGGCTTTTCCACACATTGTGCGCCCAGTTGAGGACATAACAGAGGAAGAGCTCAATAATATTTGTGGATCTGCAAGAGAAAAAGTATATAACAGGGCCATGGTAAGTATATTCCAGCTTTGTGAAATGTGTACTTTGTGAAGCCATTTTCTTGTTATTCCTTGCTTGTGTTTTAGCATCAAATAGAGCAGACTCCCTCTCACTGAGAGGAAGGATGTGATTTTTGGGAGAAAGATCTTAAAGTGTCCTTTCTTATTTTTGCCTGAATTTGTAGAATGGCCTTTACCAAGCCAATTAGCTTGCTTTCACTCTGGAATACTATCAGCTTTTCACTCTGAACTCTATCACCTAAGTGATACCAGCCACGGAAAGTGATAAACAGACACTGAAGATGTTGTGTTAAAACAGTCTTGTTTCAAACTTACAAGGTGCTTTCTGTTGTTGGATAAGCACTGCTAGCTGCAAAAGAGATTTTGTTAAATGCTTTATTTCCCTAACTAAAATGCCATCTTTAATGTCTTGTTTCTTTTTCCTGGGTTTTAGGGATCCACCTGTCATCAGTGTCGCCAAAAAACCATTGACACCAAGACAAACTGCCGTAGCCCTGACTGCGTGGGAGTACGGGGCCAGTTCTGTGGGCCCTGCCTCCGCAACAGATACGGGGAGAGTGTCAGAACAGCCCTGCTGGATCCGGTAAGACAGTTCTGAATGTTGGCTTTGTTGTGCTTAATGTGAGCAGCCAGGTGTATTGGTTACTCATAGTAAGAGTTTTAATAGGAGAACTGCTTACAGTGCTGTAGTACATAATGCAGGCCTAGCTTGATTCAACTTGAGTCGCAGAACTTTGTGTTGTGTAGAACTTGCTGTATTTACTACTTCTGTAGCTTTATTTGCAGGAGTAAAGTATGAGAGCAGAGCAGTGGCCAACATATTCTTGTGTTTGAGCATCAAAATAGTGTTCGCTTTTGCCTTGCATTAGTGCTTAATGCCCTATGGAAAGGTTCTGTGTTGTGTACAAAGTGGTGCTCTTATGGGCTGTGGTGTAGGAGTTAAACAGAGCAGAATGCTTCCTGTGGTTGTGCAAGGCAGGCAAAGGAGAGTTTAATCCCCTACAGACTGAAGAATTTGTACTCTTGCACTGGTTTAGACAACTTCTGCAGTGCTGATGTTTACTGCAGAACTCAGTGTGGAGAAGGGCACTCTTCTTAGTTCCGGATGTGAATGGTATCTGGCATTGCAGTTCACTTAAAAAGGCTTGTCTGTCTTTTGTCTAGACATGGAGGTGCCCACCATGTCGTGGAATCTGCAACTGTAGCTTCTGCAGACAAAGAGATGGCCAATGTGCAACAGGTGTCCTGGTCTATCTGGCCAAGTACCATGGCTTTGACAATGTCCATGCCTACTTAAAAAGGTAAGGATACCATTGTGTCAGTGACATGGTTGCTTTAAGTGGGATAAGCATCTCAAAAGTGGTGAGTAGAGCTGTCCACATCCTAGTTCATCGGGTAAATCTCAAGATTGGTCCATTGCCTTCAGAATCTAAGATTTTGACACATATGATTTTTCTGATACACTGGTTCTTACTGAAAACAAGTGGTATATCCACTCTGTCTTTTGGCTCTCAACTTCAATATGTTTACTGTCAGGGCTAATTGAACTAAACATTTTCAGTGTTTTGCTATAAGCTAACTCATGTTTCTACTTGTCTTTCAGTCTGAAACAAGAACTTGGAATGGAAGACTGAAGCTGTGACTGCCTTTAAATTTCATACTCTTTCACCAGTGTCATATTATTGCCTACAGTGAATTGTTTAATCAAATGAGATTACAAAGTGCCTTCCTTCCTTCCCCTTTTGGGTAAAAAAGGATAAAGGACTTTCATTTATTTCAGTATAAATCATACTTGAGAAAACTGTTTAACGAAGGTCTTCACCCACAGGCCATTGTTTTCTCTTTAAACAACTTTGCAAAAGAGGTAATATCAATATCAGTCCTCGCTTTCATGCTGGTAACTTCTTTTTTTTTTTTTACCTGAAAGGAGATGGGGCTTTAAGCCATTAGTTTCACTCATGCAGCAATCTGTGCTGCAGGCTTACTTATGCTTTGAAATTGGTCACAAAAAGATAGAGATATTCTGAAAACTCAGGGCACTTTTCTCCACAGAACCAAACAACCAACTTCTGCAATACAGACACTTACTAAACATTAATGATCAATTAATCAATTTAGAATTCTCTAAAACAGCAGCATGTTCTTAAGTTCAAAAAGGAAGTTTTAAAAATTGCAGCCAAGCAGTCTCCAAGCACTAATTTTTTTGGTTTTACAGAGTACTAAAAGTACACATTGGCCATATCAAGGGAGGTTCTCTGAGCGACTTTTGCAGCAGAAGCAGTTTGAGGTGGCACTTTGTATTTTTGGCCACTGCTGAAAGCTTCTACAGCACTAGTGCTGCCTGTTGGTGACAACAATGTGAACGTACTGGTACACATTATGGAGTGACCACTGTCTGAAATGGAATGTACTCTTTGTTAAATCACTGTTTTGGTGGACTCTCCTCCCTGCTCTTGCTGCAACTGCAGAACTGCTTTGCAGAATCAGCAATGGTCCTGGGAAAGAGGGATGCCTCCAGACGAGGTCTTGGCTACGTAGGGGGGGTAGTGGTTCATGTGGCTATTGGCCAGCTACAAGTGGATGAAAGGTGGTAACTTGTTTAATTTGTCAGGGAAAGTGGCAATGCATGTTTCTGTGTCTGGCTCCATGTGATCGTGGAAGGCTATTTCACATGATGTTTATGAAACAAGTACAGCATAAACGGAGCTGAAGAATTCCAATATGCTTTGTGCATGGTGTCTCCTGGACACTGCTGTAGAAAAGAAGGTGCCACGAAAATTGCATCCAGAGAACCACAAAGTGTAAATGTGCTTAGTTTGGTTATGGAAACTACTGTGTAATCTTTATGTAAGGTTTAGAATGCTGTGTTACAAATAATGTACAGTTCAATAGTAGAAGAATCAACTTGGGTTTAGACTTCTCTGCTTGCACAGTACTTGCTCTGTGTGTAGTCATAATGATCCACAGTTTATTCCTTTCTGGGGATTGCATAAGTGTGTGTGGGAGGGGAAGAGAGAGGAATTTAGAAACAAAAGATATTTATGTCTCAGTCTTGCAGTTATGTTTCATAAATCATTTCTCCTGTGGAAAATCTCCTGTCCTCTCTTGATGTGTTTTTATAGTGTGAATAGCTCTGCAATCTGAGGTGGAGAGTGCTCTTCCGTCTAGGTACATTTTGTGAAGAAGGAGCTCATTTTAGAAATACATGTTCTGACAGATAAAAGTTTTTTTTTTTTGTTTCCTCCTAATTGCTTGGCTTTCCATCTGATTGCTAGAGTGTGAAAGTACTGTGCTAAAAGCAAACCCTTGTGTCATATTATGGAGACTGCTGTATTTAGATTTACTCAGATCTTCAATGTTCTGTATAACATGTTTTATTTTGAAAATAAAAATTTTCAGGTTTAGACTTTTTTGCCTCTGAACTGTTTTTAAAAAGCCTGTTAGAGCTGCACCACCTTTCAGGTAAAATTATTTTGGGAAATAAAGGAATTGGTTGCTTCCATCGTACCTGGGGGAGCAGTGGGACTTGGACATCTTACTCTCCCCAGCCATGTGTCCCTGAACCAGGCTTGCTCTTATATTTATGCTGCTTGGATTGAATTGTGTGGTACCCGGTGATTAACTTGTGATGGTTGATATACAGAGTGCTTAGTTCAGGCCAGATACAGACTTTAAGCAGGTGAGCTATGTGCTTATTCTCCTGGTTTTTTTCGACTTATTTTAAACTAGTGCCTATATCCTGAGATGACAAGGATGAGAATAAAATTTTGGACACAAGTTGAAGTGAGATGCCTGCTGTTTAATTTTTATTTTTTTTCCTAAACAATCTCTAAAGTTCCCTCAGGAGCTCTTTTCTGGAGCAGAGAATAACCTGAGGTGCCTTGATTGCAGGCTGATGGTGAAGACTGGTTTTGATACTTGTGCTGCTTTTGTGTTGGCATAGCTGGGTATAAAGACAGGAGTTATATGAGACTGAGGCAGAAGATTACACAAAGCTGGCCTGTAGTGAGGGGAAACGGGAAAGAAGTGATCAAGCAGATTGACTGATCTGTCTCAGATACTCTACTGGTGAAATCCTCATGTTGTTACTCACCTAAAAGATGTGTTTAGATGCCTTTCATCACACTGCTGGTGATTTGAGAATAAATTCATATATAATTGTGTAGGACATTAGTTTATGTTTTATGTGATGATTTTGGGGTGTCTCAATACACCTCTTTCCCAAAGTCCCTCTACCACAGCTACTTGGGTACTGTTGATATTAAGTTGAAAAATAGTTGAAGAGCTCATGGTTGATAACTGCAGTGAATGGGCAGCAATTTAAGAAACTTTGTGAGGAAAAGATCCTAACTCTTGTCAGCGTCAAAACCAAAGATACATGGAAATGAACAAAGCTCATGTGTGAGGTACAGTGACTGCTAATTTATTACTGAAAAAGGCTGCATGACCTGGCATTCCCTCACTGCTGTCAGCTTTAAAGCCAGCTGATCTTGTGCCTAGGTCTAATGAAACCACTTTTTTTTTAAACTGGTATAATAAGTGAGTATATAGTATATACTGATTAAATCGGCCAAAACCTCCTTATTGTCAGAAGATTTTCTTAGAATGATATATATTAATGTGTAATTTGCTTCTTCCCTGTTTCACTTGCTTTTTAGTTAAGCCAAATGTTGAAGCATTAGGTCTCTTCAAATGCTGAGAAAAGGATTTTTGTCTTCCTTGCCAATTAAGCAAACTTTTTTCATTATATGTTAGTTACAAAAACAGCATGGCAGTGTTACTTCACAGGCTGAAGTAGCATGCACTAAACATTCCAGAGTAACACACTCAGCTGCTTAACCAGCTATATTAGTGTAGGGAACTGCAATGGAAATCTAAAAAAAAAGTAGGTATTAGCTTTGGAAACTATCCCTCTTCCTTCCTAGCCTCATGTGCTAATAGACCTTTATTTTGTCTGCCAGTAACCTAAAAACGTATTTTGAAGAGAAAAGCACAGAGATGGTAATGTACCAAAGCATCATCATTTGCTTGGGTAGGCTAATGGGACAAAAAAGGGCAAAATGGTGGCATCTAGTTAAAGAGTGGCATCCAGTTAAAGAATGGCCTCCTGTGTTCCAGGGTGAGGGAGCATAGCTGACTTTGAAACCATCTGTACTACACTATGCATCTGAAACATTCAGCAAGAGAGTCACCCACTGACCTCTGCTGGCATAATCCAGTTTGTTCTCTTACGCCTTTTTGTGAGTGCAGCTCTTGCATGGCTAATGGCATGAGCAAATGTGGAGATTTTGGAAACACTTCCTGCTGTTCTTTCATGTTCATGGCCTCTAAAGCAACTTAAAGTGAGTAAAAAGATACAATTTTCTCTGTCAAGTGTAGGCTGGCCAGCCTATGGGTGCTAAACACCAGCACCCAGTTAATGCTGGGCTTTGTTATAGATGTATATGCATGTATGGGCTCCAAACACTGAAGAGGGGACAGCACCACCCTTTTATGCTTGGGTCTCACTCCTCTTCCAAGTGATAATCCTGGGGCTCCTAACCCCACAAACGCTTTAGGAGTGGCAAACAGTAGGGGAATTGTATGTTTGAACTAAAAAATGTAATGATGGGTACTAGCGGTAGCAGTCCTGAAAATGGGAGGTGAGAGGGGAACTAGGAATCCTATTGTGACTGATACTTATAAGAAGTTGTGGATATTGAATTTGTATGAAAATATGTCTAGAGCATAGAGCTACAGTCATATTAAATCAGATCTACTTTTGCTGTTTGGTACAGGCTTTCTTCCAGGTAGTACTGATCGAGCTCTGATCGCAAGGATGGCAGACAGTTCTGTTACATGAAAAAAATAAACCAGAAGTCATGGTATGATCAGGATGGGGTAAGAAAGCATTGTATCCATCTGTCTATTAGTAGTACTTTAATGGTGTTTGTACTAATCACTTGAACTAGAAAAAAAAGCTGAACAGTAGATCCAGCTGTGTTGAGACCTCCTTATACAGTCTTTCCATTTGAGTATGTCTAAAGGTAAAACTCGTATCTACTCCTGAAAGCAGATACAAAATGCTACTGAAATTAGAGATTTGTGTTTGGGCTCGAGTTAGTTTTACATCCTGTACCGCCAACATCCTTGCAGGGAGGGAGAATGAAATTATGTGCTCAGTTGTGTCAAGAGATTTAAGTAAGAGAAGCCTATGGCAAGCATCGCCACTTTTAGTCACATATACAGTAACAAAGCAACTACCAGCACTCCTTTTGGCCTTGCTTTACCTCTTTTTAGCTTGAATGCCCATGCAAAAGTGGTTCGTGAATTGCTACGTAAACTTCACAATTGAGTGACACTAGGGCTGAGGGTGAGAGGTCTCCCACAAATAAAAATTGTTATTCATGTTTTCAGAGAATTAGCAGTTATGTCTCCTCCCTGGATATCCAAACAAACTCCTGCTTGAAAATAAAACTACTGGAAAGACTATACTGAAAATTTAAACATTTTAGACTTCAGAGATATTTAGATGTTTTGTACTTTATTATATAGCTGAAGTAAAACAAGTTCAAATGGTGCCAACCATTTTGTTTAATGCCTTGGAGCTTCACCATCTTTAGATATGCTCTAAAGTTCCAGGTCTAGAGGCTTAGCAATGTTCCTACTCAAATGTGAATGAACATAGGCACTCTTATCTTACATGATTCTCTTCTTATATAGCTTATTAGCAGAATTTAGCGGTAGGAGACATCCTATTTCTTAGTGCTTTTGTGCTATGGGGGTTTTTTTTTGTTGTTGGGGGGGGTTGGTTTTGGTTTTGGGTATTTCTTTTTGAGGCTGGTTGTAATGTGAATACAAGTGATAACAGTGAATCATCAGGAAAAAAAAAACCCTTTGGAAATAAGCCAGAGTCAAATTCTTTTCTCGTGCTCTGTTCAATCTGCTTCCTCTTTAAAAGAAAACTTTCACATTAGCAGAAAAATAAATGCTTAGCCAGAGTTCTTTTTGTGTCCCTTTCAGCAGGGAGAAGGGAATGAGTGTGCTGAGCTCAATGCCCATGCTGGCTTCCTCCTGCCGTGGAGAGTTAACACTCTAAAAGCTTTTTCTTCCCCCTTTATTTCTCTTTCCATTTAATTCTTATGAAAAAGTTGTGATGTTACAATTTTAGTATTGGAAACCAAGCACAGAGTTTTGTTGTGAGGAACTGAAATGCTTTGATATAATCCTAATTTTTTTCTGGGTGAAGTAACCTCTAGTTTTTAAATGGCTGGTGTGGCTAGAAAACAGCATCTGTACTACAAAGCTCTGAAGAGCACCTCCAGCAAATAAAAATATACAGTATACATGATATCTATGTGCCTGTTACGGAATACAGATAGAGTGTTCTGTCAAAGCCTGCTGGTATGATCTTAAACAAGTCACTTTTCCTGTAGCTGCAAGACCAAAACTGCATTCGCTCACATAGCTAAATTTGGCTTTAGAAAAAATTAACACTCGAATGTTCTTAACGTAATTACAATTAATTTTCATCACGACATGCAGACTTACCCATAGCAAGGAATAATGCTTTTTTTTTCTTCTGGGTAGCTACTAGGCACAGACTGGAGATACACATCCTTTTTTCTTGCAAGCAGAATTAGTTTATTTTTTAGGCTCGCTATTAAGTATATAATGCATTACAGCTGATGCAAGGGAGTTGAGAGTACTGCAGTCTGTTAGTTACTTTTTTTTAATTCTCACCTGATTTTCCAGTTTCCAAAATCTCATGTCTAGCATCTGATTTTTTTTTTCCAGTTCTGAACAAAAGTTATGGATGAGATGAGCAGTTTGGCTGTTATCAGGCTTAACTAAGTTGCTAATTAAGCCTGACTGCTGAAACCTAGCTTCTGTTTTCCCCTGTACGGTTGTCACATTATACTTTTAACATATTGGGATCCATGGGGAAATGTGATTCCTGCCACCCGTAAGAGAACCTTCGCTGGGTTCCTTTGCACCTCCCAGTATGCCACAGCTTGCTGTACAATGTGCAAGACAACATGGATTTTGTAAAAGGGATTCTCAGAAGTCCCTACGATAAATGGATTAGTTTGTACAAAACACTCAACTCTTCTCCACAGTTAAAAACACCTCAACCTTTTTCTGCTTCAATTTCTGAGCAATGATTTCTTGGTGTTTGCATGGCACCTAAACCATGTGGACTTTATCCCTCAGAAAAGTCATTGGAGAGAAGAGAGGTACTAGAAGTGGCAGACCAGGGCGCGGTTGCTACTACTTTTACCAGTAGTTGTACTGAGCTCTGCAGTGCTGTGGTTAGTGTGTTTCTGGGAGAATACAAACAGGGGAGAGAAGCTGTCTTGTAGTTGCTCTTTGTGTGAAGATCATTCAGCAAGTGCCACCAAATCCCACCACTAGTGAGATGAGGGAGGTTATGCTTTGTTTGACAGCCTATCTGGAAACACAGGTATTTTTCATCCAGTGTTGGTGAGACTGAGGTTCCTCCACATCTGTCACAACAGAAAGGTGGGTATAAAGAGACCTTATGGGAGCAGATGCTAAGTGTCGTGAAAGAGAAGTTATAAAGTGAAGCAAAAACTAAGGTGGATCTAAGTCTTGAGGTCCTATGTAGAGTTAATTGCCTGCAGTTTACTTGGGGATAATGTATAAGGGGAATCGTTGCATGTTGGTGAGAGCCAAAGGGGCTGATGACATGCAGTTACAGGTTGGTAACTGCACTGTTCTTGTTCCAGTGAAATCTGGTGAAGGCCAAATCCCAGTTTGGCCACAGCAAGGACACAGAGTGGAAGACTGAGCTAACAATCTCAAGACTCCTCGGGTTTTCTTAATCTAAACAATCAAGGGGAAAAATGCAGATCATTCAAGAATGTCCATTAAATAAGAAAAAATCCTTCAGGTATATGAATTGCCCCTAGCGACCCTAGGTTTACCAACACCCGTTTTTCTTTTCCCCTAAACAAAAGTCTTGCTTAAAGAAAAAAACTGATGTCACAGGCCAACAGTGATATTCATTGATATAGATAAATTTACTTTAAAATTATTTAAGTAGCTTGAGCTAGGGAATTGGATTTATTTAATATAGTACCATGTAACCAGGTGCAGAAAACGTTCTTAGATGACAGAAATGTAAAGGGTTTTCTCCTGGTGCTGAGCTCCTCTGATGAATTTCCTAAGACATTGCCAATGCATGTCTTTTGTTACAGTTCAAAGAGGTTTGTATGCTAAAGTCTGCAATTGCTGAAAAAGGGGTAAATTATGCTGGAAAGTAAATATCATTTGCAGCCTTGATTTGAACTATAGGTTCATGTTCAGCATATTGCATATTTCTTTATTTTTCTTAAACCTGTAAGAAGAATATTTAATCTGATCAATTGCTCTAAAAGCAAATGAAACATAAGGCATGATTGTTTGTTCATGTGTTAGTTCTCTGAGATAAAATGCTTTATTGTATCCTGCTAATACATCCGAAATTTTTTGGTATCACTGCTTTACAAGTCAGAGACTCCAGGCTAAAGCAGGCTGCTTTCTTGAGGGCTAGGAGAGACATTCATATTAGAGCACTCCTTCTTAACCTCCAGACAAACCCTTTATCTTTATTAATGTGCATTATTTTAGTTTTTGCAGCAGATATCCCAAATTCTGTTTTGCCATCTACTCTGTGGCAATTGAGGCTTCAGAGGGTTGGCTATTTATTGCTTAATAGCCATGGATAAAAATACAGTAAATTCTTTACAAAATAAAAATCAATACTCACTGACATACTGCATATTGAAGAAAATAATTGTTTATGGCACACAGCTTAAGCTGTTCTGGTAATCACGTTGAAAAATACAATATTTATTCATTAGATCAAATTTAATGAGGCCTCCTGGCAGTAATTATAAAAATTACTGTAGCAGTAAATTACTAATGAGTTGTGATGTGCTTCCTACCTGTGAGGAAGGACTGGGGGTTGAAAAAAATTGATATCCAGACAACACTAGGGAGGGTGAGATCTTGAGGCTAGGAGTCAAGCTCACAGCAGCGCGGAAGTTGTTCACTGCACCGGAATGGTTAAACTGAAAAAAGAGAGAAAAAAAATAGCAGAGAGACTCATAATCAGGAGTTTTACTTTAAATAGAGGGTAACTCTAGATTTGTTTCCAAACCAACACCTATAGGCAAGGGAACAATGTTATCAATGGAAGGAAGAGACTTCTGTACATCATCTTGCTACAAAAGCAGCTGAGGTGACCTAATTTACTGTAGGAGATCTTAGGCTGGGAACAGCTTCTTGCTTGTTGTAATAAAGTTTCATGCAAAACGCAGCAAAAAGGACAATGTTTTCTTGGTGCCCTTAAATCTGCAGAACAGTCACCTAAGATGTAGAGCTAAGACAAAGGTTGAAATCCCCCACCAGCTTGCTTTGATGCAGGGGGGTTTGACCTGAATTTCTTTCTTCTGAGACAAAGCTTTAAGGAATGCAGAGGCTTTTGGTAGCAAATGGTACACAGTATGAATAACAGCAAGGCATAAAGTTGTAAAAATTGTGTCACTTCTATCAAAGTCCAGGTTTCTGCTGAGTACAGGGTGTTGCTGCAGTAGCAGAGGCTGGCTAGAGAAAGGGGTTCTGCTGCATGCCAAAATTAATGCAAAAGTGCATTGGCATATAGTTATGTTTCTATCTGTAGCTTGTGGAGGTGCCATAGATTTGACAGGTGGCCTTTGGTATCGCAAAACAGTGAATAGGCTAGCTTTTAGCAAGTATTTGCTGCAAAAGATTGATTCTGGGTTCAAACATCACTCAAAATCAAATAGAAAAAGGCTGTGAATTTTTATCTCTCACAGCACAGAACTCTTAAATATACTCTTGGGACTTGAAAAGGAGTGGGAAAATCTAGCACGATTTATCTCCTCCTTATACTGGTATGTTGTACTAAAAGGAACCACTGGGCAATGGATACGTCCAGACACTCATACATATTGTGAAGTCAAAGGGGAGAAAAGAGTGTCCACTCACCCTGAAGTCATCTTCCAAAACCCTTGACAGAAGCAGAAATGCAGGTCCCCTGCATACAACCTGCTTCTGTGCAGAGATGCTGGCTTTTGTGGAGCTATGGGAAGCTGAAAGTGCCCCTAAGAGTCAAGCATTACATTACTGAGCCTGAAAGCCTTTATGGCTTTAGCTTCATACCTAAATAAATGTATACACTGAAAATGCATACAAAGCCTCAGGCAAGCTCATCAATGAACAGCAACAGGTCAGCATACAGCAGGACTATTTTTGCAGTTACCATAGTTTCAAGAAAAGGTTACCTCTTTGTTACCCCTTTTAAAAAGCAGTGGTTTGCAGTGGTTTAGCTAATTCATGTTATCTGGCTTCTTGTTATTGAAATAAGGCAAGAAGAGCTTTTGCCGTGATGCAATTACAAAAACATCTCTCAACTACCCAGAAATTAACCTTATTTAACTTCATTACCACAAAATCCACAGACCTGCTCTGTCTTTGCTGTTATGTCACACTGCAGAGAAAACCCATCTGGTTTTGGCTGTGAAGATGGTATCTCGGCTGCTCGAGTGCTTCTTTTCCTAGCACTGCCATGCGTTTCCTCAGTGACCTCAGGAAATTCAGTGTTCCCCTGTTTCTCTTTTTAAAGCATGGAAATCCTCTCCAGGCTTTCCCTTGCAGTCTGGTCCTGTCTGAAAAAGAAAATAAAGTGTGTTTTTTTTATTATTAGCTGAACCGAATTTGGCAATGGACAGATGTTCACTTTGCATACAGCTGTGCTGGCTGGAGATACATTTTTCTGTCTTTCTGGAGGCTAAATTAACACTGATAGAAAATTCTGTGGTCTTCGGAGAGAAAACACTTTAGAAATAGGAATTATTGTGGGTTGGATTTTCAGAATTGCTGTCAGCCACAGCTGAAATCAGTGGAAGTTGTGAGCTGAAAAAACTGAAGCCCTGAGCTACAATAGTTTACATGAATGTAGAAGTTGTTAGTGGCTGGCACAGGATTTTGGATCAATCTACATTAAAAGCTCTCAGGTAAATACAAAAAGTAGATGTGGTAAAATACTCCTATTTGGTTTTACGCTTTGGTTGTTTTGTGACCTGTTTTTTTTTTTTTAACTGCAGAATTCAGGTCTGGGAAGGCTACAAGCTTTCACCACAGGCTGTCTGACTATTGTCTCATGATGCAAAAGAGGTTTTCAGTTAGTATCGTGAATTCTTAGGGAATCTTACAGTGGCAAAATGGGAGCAATTTACCCAGTGTTTCTTCTTCTACACCTACGACATTAATTTACTTGTGTGGAGGGGGAATACTGTGAAACTAAAACCAAAAACTAAATAATAATGATGAAGCTTTTAAGAGAGACTGTCTCACAATCTGACATAAGTAGTAAGATTGTTGCTATGCACTATTACTATAATTAAATTACATTATGCTATTGCATTAAACTAATCCGCCAGTAATACTGTACTTAGCAGTAAGATTTTGTCACATAAACATTATGAGCCTTTAAACTTCTGCATTTTGTCTTACAAAATCCAGGGAAAATACAGAAATTGGAAGAGCAGAATATAACATGAAAAGCTATAGCTGTGGAAAAAGGCCAGCTGGTTCAACATGCCAGTCCTTTTAAAGCAGGTAAGTAGAGTGTTAGAATACATTTACCAAGGGTGGAACATGAGATGCATGTGTGAGGAGCCTGCCATTACTTTGAAAATGTTAGGTACCGATCTAAAAATTCTCTTTCTAGCATTTTGCCAAACTTCAGAACACATAAGGTTAAATCAGAAGCTGCTGAGAATAAACTGTTAAGAAAAACATGCAAATAATAACTGAAATGAAGCTGCAATCTTTTATCTAAACAGAAGCAGAAAAGGAAGGGGACTACAGATCACATAGACTATGATCAGTGTAACAGGGCAGCTGATCAGAGGAATGCAGTCTTTACGACAATGTTACCTTTTGCAGACCCAGGAAGCAGAATAATATTTTTCAAACTGAAGACTTCACCCCCCTCGTAACTGATCAAACCATCGTTCAGACCAGCAGATCCTGTCCTCTCTCAGCCTGGTAAGCTGTTGTGCATTTATTCTGGTGCTAGTTCTTTTCCAAATGAGTTACTGGTGCTTTCATCCACATCCTGTTGACAGCTATCCCTTTCTCACCTTTGCAAAATACAAACTGTGTTAATTGTTCCTTTTTGTTATCATGCACAATTACTTGGATTTTAGCAAAAATTATCACAGAAAATGACAAGCAGATTTCTGTCCCTTTGCTTACCTCTCCCATAGATAGCATGCAAACACTGTAAACTTACTGTATACCAAACTGCTGTAACTGGCACTACAGCATTTGCTCTCCTTCCTAAATTTGCATCTGCCTTTAAATGTTCACTGAACCATCTTAGTCTGCAGTCCTTGTGATCTAATTGTGCCCACAATATGCCGGGATGGACATGCTAATCATTAAGGGTTCAGATGTATACAGGGGTCCTCTTCCAGCTCCTGGGGGTAGGAACACGATGAAAATGTTATGAGACTTTATTAAGTCTTATAAGACCACCACCCCTTGCCTCTGGCAGCCTCAGAGGTGGGAATTAGCCTTTACAGGGAGGTTATCATCCGTAATACATATTTATGCTGTGTCCATCGTGTATAAGAATGCTTTCAGTAAAACTTAGGCTACGCTGTAATAATACTTTGCACTTCTTTGTTGCCTTTCATCTGAGCATTTCATTGTGCCTTTAAAAGCTTTCATTAGCTAAAATTCACAACCCTGTTGTGCAGTAACTGTGCATTAACACCTCCACCATATGCAAAATACAGTTCAGAGAAGCAAGGACTGGTGTAAGTGGTTTAAAAAGCTGGAAAGAATGAGGGGGGAATTGAATTGATTATTCCCACATCTATGTGCTAGCCCTGTGGTTTCTATCTAAAATTCTTGGATTGATGTTCTGGCTGCATTCTGCTGCATTTTTAAATGCTGATGTGTGTCAAATTTAGCATTGTTTCAAAATTCTGCAGACATTCATTTGCAGGTTCATTTATTATCTGCTGGAAATCTATCCTTTATAACTGGATGCAGATATAACCATGAGAGCGATATAAGTGCCTGTGGAGCTAGGTATGTATTTTCAGTATTGTTAAGCTACAGAGTCTAGTTTCCCCAGGATATGTATGACTCTTGTGAAAGCCAGTTACACACATTCACGAGAAGAGAATATGCCCCTAAAGCTACAATGTCCTTCGTGCATAGCCTCCAATCCTCTACAAAGCTTACATTTCACAGGATTCAAGATTATTGGTTCTTTTGGGATCAATGAGAAACTCACCACCCATCTCCAGTATCTCTGAATTACAGAGCAGAACCAGATCAAACACAGAAGAGTTCCCTCATTTATCCTGCCTCTGTAATACATCAGAGTGTGTGCTGCATTCATTTTGTGTAGGCGGGCTGGTGTCTAATGTGCTCTGTGAACATATTTATAAAGGATTAACCTGTGCCTGGTGTTCCTAAAAACTGATTTAGTTAAAATACATGTTTTATTCTACTTGTCTCAACCATACAAATCATTCCTGTTTAGCTTTGATATTAGTCATTTTTGCTGTAGTGTAATACACTGCACATTATCAGTAGTCCTGCTATGTATGACAGGTTTTTTTTTTTCCCAACCAATACTTCTTAGTGCATTGTATCATCTGCATCTGAGAATTTTAACCTGCAGTGAAAGTGTTCACGAATAGAATGTGTACTGCTTAGCAAATGCTGGAACATTGAGGGTTTGAAAAGAGTGTTCTTGCTTTCAAATTGTTTAGAAGCAAACTGGGTGTAGAAGGTCAGGAATCACAGGTGCTGTGAAGGACCTAGATGCACTTTGTACCTGGAATACTGTGTGTAAGCTCACACACACTGACCTGGCACCTGTCGTGCTAGGAAGCATCCAGTAAAGCGAAGCTTCTAGGCTGCAAACAACTGCAGCCCACCCCTCCCACCTGCTCCAAGTTAAGTATGTATGTTTTAAAATATTTACTTGGATACAGGCAATATTTAGATATTTATTTTGTGTAGGAGAAGGATTAAAAGGAAATACAAACTAATAGCTTGGCAATAGGGAATTCTGACCCTCATCTGCAATATGTGACCATAGCTCCAAAATGTTAAGGGCAATTTGAGAAGCTGCCGACTACAAACTTGAGATAAAACTGAAGAAGGGCAGACTTCTGATGAAGGATTAGGGGTAATTTATGAAAGTTATCAACTACAGGGAAAATGATCAGAATAAACACTAGAAAACTTGTTACTTCAGATGTTTGACAGCCAGACTTAAGGTTTCTTCTCACCTTGATCTTCAACCTGGAATTCAGGGCTTGGTTTGGTTTTGGTGTTTTGTATTTTTTTTTTCAGTTTGTATCAGCCTGTACTGGGATAGTAACTATGTGAAAAATCTCATAGAGTTTTCAGTATCTTCTGATGGAAAGGAATAGTGGTAGTTGATTAAATTTTTGCTGCTTTTCTGATTACCATTGAATTCAAGGAGTTTAGCTCACTTTAAATTCTGTTCTTGATACCATGTAGGTACACTTGTGTGTTAGATATTATTTGTTGTACCATTAGTCCATCTTATCTGGATATAAGAAAACACAAAAATCAGTGGGTGTAGTGGGGGGAGGAAGATTCTTCTCAGCAGCCCATCAGGCAGTTTTTCTAGTTAATTTTCTTCCCCATTGTTTGAAAGGAGCTTGCAAATGTTTCTTTTTCTTGCCAAGACAGTGGTACTTTTGCCCTGGCACACATTATTGGGTTTTTTTTCTTTTCTTGTGTTTTGAGTGCAGCTGAACAACAAATTCCTCTCTGTTTAACAAGCAACTTCCTCATATTAAAAGTTTTTTCCAAACTGAAGTATCTTTTTTTGATTTCAGCACAGCTCTGCATTTGTATTTGTTAATTAAATACTGACAAATAAATAACAGCAAGTGCAGCAATATTGTGTGCTTGTGGGCTTTCAGATCCAGCCCCTCTGGAACCTGTCTGTCTGTCTCAAGGAGCCGCAGCAGCAACTGTGCTTTGAGAGGTAGCAAGTAAGGCAGCAAGTCGGTATTCAGGAAACAAGAGTGGCTCCCTCAAAAGAAATCTAACCTCTTTTCTGCTATTCCCTGTGCATTAGACTTAGCAGTGCTCTCAGAAATTTTGATGCAAGTTACACCCATTTCACACTCGTCCCTGAAACCTAGATAATTTTAAGTTTTACAGCAGCAAAATAATTTGCTGCCTGTTTTCTCACCAATGCAAGAGACTTTCTTTAAGTGGAAGTTGGCTCATTGGAGGCCATAGGAGGACACGGATAGATAGATGGATGGATGTGTGTGTACGTGCATCTGGAGTTCTTTTGTTCTCTCCCTGTTAGCTTTGACTGGTAAAACAGCCATTTCAGTAATTTCTTGGCTGGCTTTGCAGGGAAAAAAATCTTGGTCTTTGGTGCTCCTGGAAGAGAGGTTGTCATAATGTTGCTCCCCCTCTTGACTGACAGACACCTTTGCGAACACACAGCATGTTTCATCTCAAAGCACTCGATGAATATCCTTAACCCCCCCCTCTGGACCAGCCCACCTCTACTTGCAATGCTCCTTGTCTTTTCTTACAGGATTGCAATCCCTGCCTTTTGTTCCTCCTTCTCAGGAGTTAATACCTCCCCACCTTACAAGTCAGCAGCAGATTCTGTCAGTTTAAAACCCCAAATAACAAACACTCCTACCCTGAAGGCCTTTTCCTTTCAAGCATGTATTTTTCTAGCCTGCAAGGGAGTCAGTGCCATAACCCTGAGTTTTCAGGGAATAGTTTCTAAGCCTGTATCTGTCTATCATGAATATCTTCCAAAGAGGGAATGAACATCCTCTCTTCTGGCAGCTCCTACATTTTGTGGTTTCCTGCCCCCCCTTCCTGCCCCCCTCCGCTCCTTATATGCCCCTGCATTTCATCCCGTCTACATGTAATGTCTCCTTTCAAATCCTCATTTACTGCTGCTGTCACCTCAGCCTGCTCCAGCCGTTGCCTGTCAATGCAGTCACAGCCCAGAACCCAAACATTTCTGCCTCTGTTAAGGCATCCCACTGTTGGTCTTTTGCCAGAAAGCTGGATGACCTGTGACACAAGTTTCCAATATTTCTCTTCCATTCACACTCTATTTCCCTATCTGTTGGATTTTTTTTTTTAATTTCTATGGCTTGAAAAACAAAGCATCAACTTGGTTTTTTTCCTTTTACCCCATTTAACATTGCTGGCATCACATTCCCACCTTTCTCGCTGATGTCCTTTTTTTTTTTTTGGCAATGTTTGGTATTGCTTCTTGCTTCCTAACAAGCTGCTGTTAAGAAATGCTAGACATACCTGCCTTGGGGATAGTTGACTGTCTCTAAGCTAGAGACAGGAGACTGCTGGCTCAGGGGCAAGAGGCGACTCCTCCACAGAAACATGAAACACTGGGTGACATATAGGGTGAGTTTATAAAGGCAAGCATTAACAGAATTCATGTTCATTTCAGAGACATAGAAATGGATCCTGAAGATAAACTGAAGATCTGAGATTATTAGGTGATCTGACAAAATCTCTGTCATTTAATCACTTGTGTTTGCTGTTTATGACACATTTGCTGAGCCCAAGATGCTTAAACTGTGCACGTATTCAGATTTTTTCCATTTACCTCCTCACCCTGTCCCACCTTAGTTTGAAATGGCAACTGATTAGAAATCAAAGGGTTTTTTTCTGACGTCTCAGATGGTGGCACATCAGGTAGGTATATGAGATGGAGGGGTTTAAAAACGGGGAGGATAAAACTATCATGATGACTGAGGCCTTCTTGTGCTTTGCAGCGTGCATAACAGAGTAGTATAGAGAGGATGTTCTTCCCTGAAGGAAGCTCATGGCTCCTGCTCCGAACAACAATTACTGTGGGGTTTTAGACAAGACAGTGATTCAAGTTTTGTTTTCAGTCTGGTTTTTGTGGTTTTTTTTCATCTCCCCAAACCCAAGGGACTGATGACCAGGCAAAGCTGACCCCTAGTCATGTCCATGCATAATCTCTCTGGTGCTCATGGCAGACCTCCCTTTCACCTGTTCTGCAGTCCAACCCCATACATGCTCTGTTCCAGCAGGGAGGCTGTTTTGGAACCCAGCTGCCTAACACAGTGTCACAGCAATGATTTTGCTCCCTGGTGACTCACTGCATTTTGCACCTGATGGTAAAAGATAACCTGTCACCTTAAATCCTACTAGTTCTGCAAGACAGCTTTTATATAATCAGTGGGTACTTTTACCCTCTTTTGTCCAAACATGAGTATAAGGTCCAGCTTGATTCCCCCGTACATTTTTTTAAAGAAAGCAGCTGTGTCATCCTTCAGGAAAACAGCTTGTAATTTAGCATTACTGCATTATATCCCCTAGGCAACGCTTCTGTCTTCAGGACATATATTTATCACAGACATCACAGTATCTCTATGGTGGTTTAGTTTTCCATCAAGGGAAGCTAAAAGAGCATTTAATTCTGTAAAGCTATGATTGATCTTCACTACAATGTACCTCTGATGCTCTTCTCAATGTGTCTTCTGATGAACAAGATTTCTTCTTCCACTTTTGATCTCTCAGAAGTCTGTACTGATCTTGGAAGAGTGGGCTTGTTTTGCCTTCTAGTGCTACCTGTCTTTGTGCTTGGCAGAGCTTTCCTGTCCTTTGGTCAGCTCTCCAGTCCTCTAACACTCCATCAGTCAGTGGCTCTTTGCCTTACTCAGGAGGCTCCTGTGGAGAGTTGAATGTGTGTCAGCAAGTAAATAATCTGCCAGCATTAGATGGCTTTCACTTCTTGTTTACGGTTTCATTTTTAGTATTACAAAACAGTTGTGGAGACTAGGTAGAGGGACACATCTTAAGATACGTTCAATTAAGATGAACAGAAAAATGATGGCCCCACTACTTGCTCTGAAACTTTTCTATGTTCTTAATGCAAGCTGTTTTGTTAATTGCTACTTCTTCTGATGACCATTTCACCCTTGATCTTAGAGCAGTACCGTTCTATTGTTACAAATTCTGATCCCAAAAGACACGAGAAACCAAGCTTGGTCTTCTTAGTAGGAGATACTATGTACTACAGCACTTGTCAAATCTATTTGATCAATGCACACAGCTTGAGACAAAAGCAAGCAAGGAAGGAGTGGGAATGCAAATTCTAGAGAAATCTTTCAAAGCCTGCAGTAATTGGCAAGGTAAATGCAAGGCTCTTTCTGCTTTTCATAACACTGGTAATATCAGTTTATGATAAAAAGCTATTCTGAGTTACACAAGAAGGTAAGATATTTGCCAAAAAAATTCTTTAGTTTGAATTCTATTTTTTTATGATGGACATGAAGTGCCATCCATACTGAATGACTGTTGGCATGCAACTTACCACTGAGCAACTGTATGTTGATGGATAAGCCAGTCTCATCCAAGTGTCAGGAAGATTATCAAAAAAAAGAGCTGTCTGTAGTTGCTCCATCTCTGAGGAGATTGCCAACTTACCCTAACAAAAGAAAACATTAGTGTGCTATTTGCGTCTCACAAAGAGACTGTGATAAGATGACATGATAAATGATAGAGGGCTTTTTTTTCCCCAGTAAAAACACATAAGGTAGCTAAATCATCAAGTGTAAAGAATATTTTGGCTCTTGCAACTGGGGTGAGTAATTTATTTTTTAAAAAGGGGAAACAGTCAGAAAAACAAGAGTGTAGGTTCTGGGTTTTCTGTATTTCTTAGAATCACTCTAATTGCATTAAGTAATTATATGATATAGTAATTCATATACACACGCATGGAAGCACCCACCTACGCATATGTACAGGGAGAAAATGATAAAGGGCCAAATTACTAACTTGCTTTCAGATATCCCACAGAAAATTGTACATGCAATCAAGCTACTATTCTGCTGGCTTGCTTGCACTAATGGCTATTTGAATGCCCATGTTTTGTTACTCTGAATTAAAGATCGAAAGAAAGCTAATTTTTCAGGTGGTGAAAAAGGAGGTCCCTTAAAAATACTAGCCCTATGAATTAGATTTTCAGTACCTAGTTTTGGAGTGGTATACCTTAACTACAGCTCTGCATGCATATACCACAATTGTCTGTGTAAAATGCTAGCAAGCTACTTGGTTGCCCAATTCCATGATTGAACATATATTAAATGTTAGTGCAGCAGGTACATCACTGTTTGAGATTTCTAGATGTTATGAAAATTTGGCTGTCTATGGTTAAGAACGTTACATGTTGGTACTCAGCGCTTCATTCATGTTGAGAGACATTATTACCAAAAACTGCCAAAGATATGCAATGAGTTCCCCATGTCCCTCTTACCTCGTTCATCACACTCAATAGATACACAGTGAGATCAGGACTTGGGTGTTACTGATACTGCACCTTTACCTGCCGTTAATGGCCATCTCCGAATGACAGCCAAATGCCACATACTGATGGCATTTAACACAATGTGGACTGTGTGCCTTATCCAGCAGGGATCTATATGAAGCAGAGTTCATTTTCAGCACTAGAGGGTCTCTAAAGCATCAAACAGCTCCCTTCTCTCCTATGGATTGCCCAAAACACATGTGAACACACACTGTAACTAGCAGTTGTGAACAGAAGAGCCAAATTTCTGCAGTGGCAGAAGAGAAGAATGTCCCAACCTTACCTCCGTGTCTGCACTGGAACAGGAGTCAGACCATAATCAGGGGATTTGCATTTTGCTTCCCAGTACGCAGAGAAATATAGGATTTCAGTCTCCTGAGCAGTTTCATGATAATTTTTTTCACACAAATTAAAACAAATCATTTGATATATGGAGATGAGTTACATGTTTGGAGTAGGCAGCTTATGAAAGCACAATTTTTTAATCGATGAAATCAGAAATAAGCTCACCAAGTATCACTCACAATGCCTGTTACAGGCATCTACACTCATGCTGTTTAAACCCATGCATCCCCTGAGATTAGTAAAGCAAAGCACACATATCTTCAAACCTAAATTAAGTTCTTGAAGAGAATGCCTTACCTCATATATCAGCAGTCTCATATTCTGGAAAACAAATCAGCTTATGTGAGTAGCATTCTTCTGGTGTTTGGATAAAATAGCTGATCTCACTTTCTTCTGAAAGATTTTTTTTCTCTATGTCATCTAGCTCTGCCTTCATCCTCAAGAGATACCACATTGCATGAGGCAAGTGTCTTGTGTATCCACTTCTGCACAAATGTAAAGGAAATTATAAACATTGTGTATCTTTACGTAGTGAAAGCACTTCTACTGCCTTCATGTCACAGTATGAAGGATGTGGAGCATTTATCCTGTGAAATAGAGAAGGAGCGGAAGACTTGTGCAGGGCCATGCTGTTAGGAAGAAAAGCAAATTCTGCCTTATAGTTTGGAAATAATGGCATTTTGCAACCTGACAAAGGATCCTAAATGGCCTAACACTATTAATATATTGTAACAGTCTAGCAAGATCTTTTTTCTTTGTGGTGCAAAATAATGCATATATTTATGGCTCACGTATACTAGAGATCCCTCATTGCAAATTTCAGATTGAATCCCTGTAAAAAACAGGTATGAAAATGTCTAATTCTATTGAATTAGAGAGAAAAAAGGCCATGGGAGAGAAAAAAGCCCCTAAACATAAAACCACTGACATCACACCATCTTGTGACAAATTTGCAGCCTGCTCTATGTTTTGACTGACCTTGTCTTCCACAGCTTGGGAGACTCCTTTCCCAGTGACTGAGTATTTGAATTGCAGCTCTAATAGCATATGGAGCATGTTGTTTGCAGTTATTACAAAAGCAATCTCCACATTGGGGTGCAGGCCATAACGGATGGGGCTCTGGGGAGGTAGCATTTTATCCATATTTTTATAGTAGCCTTCATAATCCAGGTTTGAAGAGACTGAAAACCCAGAAGCAAGCACTGACTTACTATCAAACTGTCAAAGAAATAATAAAAACCTTGTCAGTAAGACACTGGTGGCAATCCTCACTAGACAGAATAAGGACCTGCTTAGGCATAAATGAAATTGTTCTATTATGGAGTCACTGTTGAGAACAAGACTTTTATATCACTTTTATATCCGTGGAAATTAATCTAATTTGTTCCCCATTTTAATTAGCCTCTTTATGTCACATCCAAGTTCCAATACTTGCAAGAAAAAGAAAAAAGAGTTTTCTAATAATCAGATTATCCTTCTGAAAGAAAACAGCAAAAAGATAATTTTAATTTAAAAAATAAAGAGACAGAAATATTTTAAAAGAAAAATATTATTTCTTCCAAATTACAAAGTGCTGCTCTCTGGTGTAACATTATTATTCTGTGTAGCAACTTATTAAATGAAGCAATTTATGGTAGCATCTCTGAAAAATGCCATCCTTTATTGAAATGAAAGCGGGTAATAGCATAAGGACTGTAAAATAAAAAGGCAGAATATCTTCTTTTAGACCATTACAAAAATACATGTATTGTCTATTTGAAAATCAATAGAATACCATAGAATAAAATGGAGCTGTGGTATCATCACCATAATTTCTATTTCAAATGGTTTGCTGAGAACCAAATTGTGTCTTTTATGGAAAAAGAATGACAAATGCTTTAATTCAATATCACACGCATTTGTATATATGAGCTGAAATCCTGCTGCAGCTCAAAGCTGTTAGGCAAATATTTTAGTATCACCACAAGTTTAAAAACAACAGACATGTGGGAGTACATCCATTTATTTACACTTGTACTGACTTAAAATTCAAAATGCTATTTGATGCTTTTAAAGTACTTCTGTGGGATGTTAAATTACTGCTGAATTCTTACCGTTCTGAGATACCTTTCAACCTGCCAAGATGCATGATGATGATGATGATAATAATAATAATAACAGCAGTGCCGTAGGGATCTTTAAAATAATGTGGGGCTTATTCCTTTAAAGATAAATACCATTTTCACTAACCCCCGTTTTATGATTCAGCATTTCTGATGCAACAAAGTGAAATAATGAAAGTAAAACAACAACAGGTTTGTGTGGGATGGGAAAGGGAAAACGAGCACGTGCATTGTCAGAATTTTTGCAGAAATTGTAGGGGAAAAAAAGCTCATGTAAGTGGCAGTTCCCTCTCCCTCCCCCTCCCTCCCCCCCGGGAAAATTCCTCCTCTTGTTTTTAGTGTTCGCTACATTTTCTTCTTTTATTCCTTTTTCTGATCTCGTCCTTTCGTTCCCCATGTCTCCTCGGATGCTTCTCCTTCCTCCTCGCAGCGGGAGGCTCCCGGCAGCCGGGGACGGAGAGCCACGGCCGCATGGTGCGAGGCTTGCAGGTGAGCTGGGGGCACCGGCGCCTGGGGAGGAGAGAGATGGGAGCCCGAGGCTTGCTGCCTTGTGTGCACAGGGCCTGTTGCACTCCCGCCTCCCTCTTCGGCGCGCCTCTGTCCCAGGGACAGGGTGTGTATGTGGCGCTGGGAGCTTCCTACACCTGCCTTGCTCGGGGCTGCGGAGGAGGAGGTGAGGTGGCAAATGTGTTAAGTGAGGATAGGGGCTGTGAGCCACCCCAGTCAGCCGCCCTTGGCGTGCATGGGCTGGGAAGGGGCTGTCCTGCTACCATCACCATCTGACAAACCCCGAGCTCAGTGAGGGTCCCTCCGTCCGCCAGGCATGGCCACCGCCACAGGCGGCGATAATCACCAAATGCCCCACAGAGGTGGAAGGGAGAGGGCTTTTCTGCCTCCCTCTTACCGGATAGTTTTGTCGCCCACGGCCCCTCGGTCATTATCGCCGCTCGGCCCCAGCCCGGCCGGCACAGCACTGCAAGGAATCTTTGCATTGCTAAGGGATCAGAGGTCACCGCTGCAGGGAGCCAGGGGCTGGTATACTAAACGGCCAAGTCTGTTTAAAATGTAATTCCTCAGGAAGAGCCGTGTGCTTGTGGCCTTTTAAATGAGTAGCAGAGCGTGCCCGTTCATGCCCGTGTTTGCTTCCTCCAGGCACAAGCCCCGGCTCGGCGGGCGGATCCCGGGGTCGCGGTCGGCCGGGTCGCCCCAGCCCCGCAGGGCTGTGATCTCTGCGGGGCTGGCTCCTGCTGATGTCTCACCCCTGTCCCCCCGGTGGAAACTGCGGGAGGAAGTGCAGGATGCGCCTCGGGTTTGCTGAAACCTATCCAGCCGCGCTGGCTCCTGCGCTGGAAATGACCGGGCTCACATAGGCAGGCGCCCCGGCGGAAGGCTCCGGGCCGGGGGCGGGTTACAAGCTCTGCCGCCGGCACCTGGGTGTTGGCAGCGGGGTGCCGGGGGTGCAGCCCTGCCTGGGGAATCCCGTACGCCCCCACTCCAGCGTTAACACGAGCGTCTGCGAGAGGGAAACCTCCCCCGGAGGTCGGGGCTGCCGTCACACCCCCGCAGCGCTGCCCGGGGTCAGGCCCGGGGGGTACACGCTCTCCGCGGGTGCTCCCTCCCCTGGGGCCGGGCACAGCCACACTCCCCCGCCCGCGCCTCCCCACGGCCCGCGGCACCGCCGGAGCGGCCGCCGGCAGGGGGCGCTCTGGCTCCGGGAACGCGCCGCCGCTGACCCGGACGCGTCCCGGCTCCGGCTCCGGCCCCGGCCCTGGCCCGCCGCGCCACGGAGCAGGGCACGGGCACGGGCACGGGCACGGGCGGCTGCCCGGGGCGCCCGGCAGGTACCGCGGGTAGCGAGGAGGTGACGAGCTCTCGGGCAGAGTCGCCGGCCGGGGGGGACGGTCCGACACCCCGAGCGCACCTGGGCGGGCGCGGGGAAGGCGGCGCCCCGCGGGCCGAGGGGCCGGGCCCGGCCGGAGGCCGTGGCGGGGCCGGCGGGCTGCGGGGCCGGCGGAGCCACTGCCGGCGGCAGAAGTTGGCGACAAACGTATGGTCGCCGTGGCTGCAGCCGCGGCTTTCTTTGTGCGTATGTCTGTCAGCACTTTGGGTGACATTCCCTCCGCTGCGCGGGTGGCTGGCCTTTCTTCCCATCTTTATTGCTGGAAGAGGTTATTCTAAACAAGAGGAAAAGACGAAAAGCTTTTATAATTTTCACAGAGGTTTTTTAGAATATACTGTCGAAAAGCAATTTTTTTTTTTTTTGTAATTGGAGAGTTTCTTAGCATTCAGGTTGATGCTCTTTCTTTAGTACAGATACGTATTCCAAAGAGATACTTGATTTCTTTGACCATATCTTTGATCATAGCTTATGATTACTACCTATATACACCTATGTTTGTATCTTTTAAGAGTCAGTAACAAAAATTGTTTTAATTAAAAGCCTTCCAAAACAAAGATTAAAAAGTATGGAGGAAAATATCATAACCTAGCAGTCAAAACCACGCTTTCCTCTTATGTACTATGAAAACGTTTTGGACCAAACCCTTAGCAATGTAAATTGGTGTAGTGAACCTCACTGATTTACCTCAGCTGAAGACCTAATTCTGTGCACTACCTGCTCAGAATATGTAAAAAATATTGCAGAGACACAAAATCGCGCGGTTTCACATTTCAAGATAAATCAAACTAAGCTAAACAAAACCAAAATAAATTCTTATTCTGTACTACAGTAATTAACTGTAGTGACTACAAATGTACTTAACTAGAAACTATATGTGATGCTTTAAACTGAAAAGAAGTAGTTTCTTGTTTGATTTTTTTTCTTTTTGCTGATAGATGTGCAGTCATTCTAGGATATGTGAACAAATCTTTAAGAAATTAAATGCATCCTGCTTTATTACTGCATAACCTGTAAAGGCTTTTAGTGACTTCACCGTTTCAAGTGGCTTTAAAAGGAGAAGTTCAATGCTCACATTTTTAAAGTTTTATTTCTGTGGTGTTTTGCTTGCCTAGTCAAATTTATCCAATGCAGCATGGTGATCAGGCATCATTACTGGTTGTAGTTTATCAGTTTTTTTAATGTGAGGTTTCCCAAATCCACCCTGGAATAAGATAAGCTTTAGGGGAAGCGGCAGGTTCCTCACACTCAAAACAGATCACCCTGCTGACTTCCTTCCCTGGTTTTCTTCAGTAATTTCTCTAATGTGTTCAGCCACTTTACTACAAAATAAATATTCAGAGATGGGGAGGGAGAGGGGGGAGAAGGGAGGAAAAAATAGGCCTCCCAGTGAGCTATTGATTTGAAATTTGAAACATTTTATTGATACAAGAAAAACCAGACATAAGGAAGCAGTTTCATATTGCACAATATTTGAAAAAAATCGTGTGCATCTGTTTAGCACAATACACTGCATAATGACAGCAATCTTCCCTGTTTGTATCTATTCATCTGATTATACAGCGTAACAATTCTTTTTGCTACACATTTATTTACTAAAGGATTTTTTTTAATGGATAATAAATTAGTAAATCAGATACCGTGTGCTTGGGAAAATATGTTAGTTGACTCCCTACACACAATTCATATTTTATGTGATATGCAGTGATACTTGCACATACAGATGAAGTTATGTGCTTCCCTTATGGCAAAGACAAAGGAAGTTTTAAATCACTATTTAGTACTCTTTGAACTAGGCACATGCTATTTTGAAAAGCTTCAGTTTTTAACACTGCAGTGCAGCACTGATGTAATGAAGAGCTTTGACTTACTTGAAGTATAACCCAGTGGCCTTCTTTTGATGCCTTTTCCATAGCTATTTCTGCTGCAGCTTCCTGTCCTTGACCCAACGATACATTGTGAAGTTCTCCGGAGTCAATGGTAAATTCAAACTTGCTCCCTAAACAGAACAATATACTGTACTACTTTGAGCCAAATAATGAAGTGTTCAAATAAGCATGTGTTCTACACACAGTGTTTAAATGGCACCACGTTACATGAGTCACCAAAGGAAAAAAACCAACCCTCAAAAATATAGTTTCAATAAATCAGCTGAGCTAGTATATTGTACTGCTCTATGGCCAAGTATTTTGTATTAGCAAAATGCCCCTGTGTCTGAAAAGCAATGCAGAAGTGAGACAATTGATTCCTGCTAATGGATTCCCTACATATTGCCTATAAAAATATTTCAATGCACACTGAAGTAAATATGTTAGAAATTTATCTAAAGAAAAGAAAGAAATTAATGTCTCATTAAAGGTGACATTACACAAGGGCAATGAAGGGGGCTAAGCAGAAGTCCTTACACTGGCATTAGGAGGTAGTTTGGTCAGAGGAGGGTTAGCAGGTTTTCAGTAGGGTCAAATCTGTCATTTAAGTATAGTTGTGCAAGGTTGATGACTTGCACTAGTAAAATACAGAACAGCAGGCAAGCTACCTCTGATTTCAGAAAGCAGCCAGCAGTCACCCAGGCAGCTGAGTCAAGCACTGTAACTTTCCTCAGATACTAAGTGTTAGAGATGTAATGCCATCTGTGTGTTATCATGTGACAAAAGCCTCGTTTATTTCTCTGGTTTTGATAGAATTTCTAAAACTGGTGGTATTGCTAACTAACTTGGTAGACATTTCTTTTATGGTAAATGCTATGTGTTTTCATGATTGTTAGTAATAGAATCTATATATAGTCCAGAGGAATCTAATGGTTCAGAATTGATAAGGGACCAATCCAGGAGATAAACACTACTGGGGAACAGCACTACCTTCTTTGGAAGTTTTTGTGAACACTGGACACATTTTGTTCCAAGTTACATTTGGGCAAAGTTCCCATAAATTAAGAATTACAGTTGACAGACCGTTGTGAAAAACAACAGTTAAGGTGTAAGACCTATTCTATGGGGCATAGTATTTTATTATGACTTCTATTTGGTAGAGATCCAAGTATAACACACGTTAGGGTCACTCACAGTGCAAAATCTGTCCTTCAAAGGGCTGAGGCTTGTAATGCAAACTGACAGCACAGGTCATCCCAGACAGTCTGCTGTCTCACATAATTATTGGTTTCAGGAGAGAACTTTTTGCTTTTCCTTCTTTTAGAAATGTCTCTTTTCTGGACATTCCAACTCCATCTTTTTTGCTTGTCCTTTCCAGGGGCTTTCAGTATCTCTATTCAAGTAGCATAGTTTATTCGTCATTGTCCACACTTGAAAAAATACTATGTAGAGCGCATTTGAGCACAAGCATGTGGATTTTGGAAACCAATGTAATTGAAGATTTTATTTAAAAAAACCCTGGTTTGTAGGATCATTATTATAGACATGCTATACCTGATTTCTCTTCATGGAGAATTAGAGAGAAAATCAAATAAATGTTGAAACAATAGTCAGTGTAAGTTCAGAGAGTTCCCAAAGCATCAGTTTGTTTTTCTGTAACTAAAAGCTTTAGGATAGAACAGCTGTGAAATTAATAGAAAATGTTTGTAATATTTATCAGTGTTTATTTTCTCTAAAGCTTTGGGTTTTACTTGTGGCCCAAATCCCCCATTTAAAATATTTTTAAATCTTTTAAAACCATGCAATACAGATTCTGGATATCATAAGCTTAAATCATGAACATATAGAAACATTCCTCAGAGTGTATTAATACGTTCACAGATGATGATGAAGTGTGCCACTTAGAAGACCAGCTAAGCTTTCACCAAAATATGGACAAAGTTTTAACATAAGGCTTTCTTGAAATGTCTGCTTTGACAAATTAAATGTGGACTTTTGTGTGTAAGCCTTTTAGTATGTCAACAAGGCTAGAAACACTGAATTGTGCTAAGAAACAGTATTAATACAGCATTCCAAGGTCAGCTGAGCTCAGATTTCTCTAGAAGAGGAACAGTTTCTCTTAAGAAATTGCCAGATCAAAGTCATATGGCAAAATGCTTAAAATTTTAGAAGTCTGTTAGAACCAGATCTAAATTTTCCACTGTTAAAAGAAACAACAAGAGAGCTTCACACCATTATTTCTCTCTTTGTACACGGATGTGCTGTGTGAATCCAGAGGTGCATTCAGCTATGTATTAGTAGGGAGCACTGAGCCACTAGAGCAGGAAAAGATAGAACAGAAATAAACTGTTGGCTGCAATTGCCCCTTTGAAAAAGAACAGGAATTTTGAGAGGGGAGAGAAGGAGTTCCCTTGGTCCCAATGGAGTTTATTATTCTCTGGAAACAGGTAAACCAACCCTGGCTCAGGAAGATACTTTAGAATAGGAAATGTTTTGCCTTTGAAATATACCAGATTACATGTCATTTCAAATAGTGTTCATGGCAAAGATACCCCTGGGACCACCTTACAAGAGCTTTATTTCTTGCCTGCAAATTAGTCAGTTCAAAACACTTCTCCTCTCATCTCTGCCTTCAGCTCTTAATACCACACATGCCATTCGTAAAATAGCGGAAAAGAATGAAAAGACCCTCAATACAATGGTACAATTAAAAAAATAAAACAAAAGACTGTAAAGGCAAGAACAAGATGGGTTTCAGCTGACAAGGAAAAGAATGAAATTTTGGTGCATTTTTGGAGGCATTTCAATAAACCCTCTTTCTTCCGTTTCAGCAGGGGCTCATTGAAGCAGCTATGTTTTCCAAGTAGCGGGCAGACAGACAATAGCATCTAAATTATTTTTAAGAAAGCACTTAAAGCACTAAGCACTCACTACTACTAAATCCATCTTAGAGGAGAAGGGTGGAGGAAGAAGAAAGGTCAACAAATGTATCAAGTTCTTTGTGTAATGCCTCACTGACATTTTCCAACTCCCTCAGCTGGCTTTTATTTTTTTATTTTTTATTTTTCAGAATCCTGGTAAAATGCAGTAAAGGATTTAAGGTTATCGTCTGTCTCTCTCTAACTTCTGACATCTCTTTATAACAAGAAAGAGTCACAGCCAACTGTAACAGGAGGGCAACACAATGAATCCTGGTAAGACCAGGAAGGGGGGAGGTTCAACTTTGCTGCCCCTTTGCCCCTATTTCTTCCTCACAGAACAGAAGTGCCATCTGTTCCTAGTCCTAACATGCATGCATTTGATTTCCATTCAGTAATAACTAACACAGGAAAAAGATTATCCAGTGATCTAAAGTACTATCAGCATTAGCAAATCTTCCCATCCAGTGTTTTGTTTGCACCTCTGAAGATCTTGCAGATGAAACGGATATGGGCAAGTGCCTTAATGGCCTAGAATTATTCTGTTCTCTGGTAGAGGACCATATGGTCAAGGTATGGATCATGACCAGACTGAGGATATTTAGATGCTTAGATCAGAAAGAGATTTAGGAAAATCAAATGAGAGGACTGATGTTCAGATTCTCCAACCTGAATTCACTACAATCTCTATTACTCAGTGTTGTATTAAATCATCATAATAATGCAAAATCAAGTCACAGCATATCATGTGAGGCTAGACAGTATAAAGTATAATCCTGTTTCGAAGTAATCCGTAAAAATGTTCTTAGGCTTCACTCAAATTTGTCACATTCATAAGCAAAAAGCGCAACACCACCAAACAACCCCCAGTCCAGCAAATTCAGTTTAAGATTATGCTGGTTTTGGCTGAGGTATTTCTTCATAGCATCTAGTATGGGGCTGTGTTTTGGATTTGTGCTGGAAACAGTGTTGATAATTCAGGGATGTTTTAATTATTAGTGAGCAGTGCTCACACAGAGTCAAGACCTTTTCTGCTCCTCACACCACCCCACCAGTGAGGAGGCTGGGGGTGCACAAATGTTGAGAGGAGACACAGCTGGGACAGTTGACCCCAACTGACCAAAGGGATATTCCATACCATAAGGCATCATGCTCAGTATAAACTAGAGATGGAAGTTGGCTGGAGACTGCGATTCGGGGACTGCGGCTCGTGGACTGGGTGGGCATTGGCTTGTTGGTGGTAAGCAACTGCTTTTTATTTGCATTGCTTTGTCTTGGGTTTTATTTCTCTCCTTTTTTTTTTAATTGGTGTTGTTGTTATTATTATTAAACTGCTGTTATTTCAACCCATGAGTTTCTCTCCTTTACCCTTCCAATTCTCTTCCCTCCATCCTGCCGTGTGGGGAGTGGGTGAATGGCTGTGCTCTGCTTAGTTGCTGGCTGGGGTTAAACCATGACAAAGATCAAAAAAAACAATGAAAACATCTTTTCTTCCTAACTCACTGCAGGTGCCAAAGACCATCTGGATCCTTCAGTTATGCCTAGTTGTGCCTGATGTCTTACTATTGAAAGAAATGGGGTGCAGCAGCAGATGCCAGCAAAGTAAAGGTACCTAAATAGTGCTGTTTACAAAGCAGGGTAACAAACAATTGGTGCAGTGGGATTTCTCTGTTAGAGCCCTTCAGGCATTTCAGGGCTCTTTCCTCTTGCTATCTATACCTGACTGTTATAGCAGTCTTCATCCTCACAGCTTTTCCCCTTTTGCTGTTCCTGCCTGCCCACTTTGTTGCTTAAAACACCTCTGTGGCCAGAAATTGGCTATGTTGTCAAGTGCCAGCTTTCTTCCCAAAGGCTGGGGAATGACCTCAAACATGGGAAAAGCATGGCCAGTGCTGTTATAATGTAAATAAACTTGTAAAATGGTTCAAGAGAAAATGACTAGCAAGTAGCTTGTGCTTTAGATTAGCTTAATTTGCTCAAGTCAAATCTGAAGCTGATCTGTCTGGCAAACCTACTGATGCCTACGTTGTCAAAATATATGAGACAACATTTCATTTCTCTAAATTTCCATTAATTTCATTGCCTTATTTTCTTTCTGTTCCTCCTACACCAGGATGACATTTTTGAAGTGTACTTTTAAGAGCATAATTTGATCAAATGATCCAAGGGAATTCCCTATAGATACCCATGATTTAATGCTAGATCTGTTCTAAAGGTTGGCATGCCCGATAATGGCAATTGGTTTAACACCTGTTAATTTCTAAATAATTAATATAGAGTGTTTTTTCTAGACAGAACTGTGTCTTGTTTACTCAGCTCGATCAGAAATGTATCAAATAAAGGCAGGGCCCAGCCATGCGTGGTGGTGAGCATTCTGAGCATCCCAGCCTCAGCCAGAGCGGGTGTTTGGCACCTTGCTGAAGTCAGCCATTGCGCATGGCCTTGTGTGAGATGCTTGTAGGTGACTTCCAGATGACCTTGAGGAGACTGGACAGGAATTCACTGGTTGGCTGATTTATGCTTCAGTACGGTAGATATTCTGTGCTCTGAAAACAAGTAGGGTCAGCAGCTGAATTTGAATTTCTGTATCTTCACTTTCTCTTCTCCACTTGTGATTTTTACTTTCCAGCTCACAGCATATGCACTAGAAGCTGAAGAAACCTCTTTTATCAGGTTAATATTTTCATCATAGTTGTGGCTCACATCCACGTAGGCTTTGGGCTCCTCTGCTCTGTACCCATTTCTCACTCTTTTCAAAGGGAAGTAGGAAACTCTTGGTATGGGTGCAAAACTTAGAAGAGATCTATGCCAAATAAGAGCAAGAACACAGCTGCACAAGACTCAGCATACTTCTCACAGACAAAAAGCAGTGAAGGAAAAGATAACACTTTAAGCTAAATGAGAGATCATTATACAATACTCTTTCCATTCAGCTCATTCTAAGAGGAATATATACATGTGGCAGCAGCACTTGGGACATGAAGAGCTACTTTGAAAGTAGATGCGTTTCCCAGTGTTTGAGATGAGGATAGAAAGTGGAGAGTGAGAAAACTGGCTGTCTCTGCAGAGGTGCCCCCCTCTGCGGCCACAGCAACATCTGTGAAGCCATCATGCTTTTCTGTCCTTAATGAGAAAGCAGCCTGGACTGGCTCAGAGCAAATGCAGTTTGTAGGAAGTGTTTCAGGCTGATGTTCTTGCCTGAGGAGGGAGTTTTCCAGGGGCCTGGCAGAGCCAGTTGGTAGCATGAACAGCTCAAGCTACAGCAAGGAGACCCAAGCAGAAGTACACGAACTTGTCCATATACCCTCTTACTGTGGTGAAGCAGGAAGGCACGGAAGGGAGGCCTCAAAATCATAAGGCAAAGGACTGCTCTGTGGGCTGCTTGGCCACACGTACAGGTGTACGTACACAGAGCTGTCAATGGGAGCTCATGCAGGGGTCGTGCTGTACTGGGAGAGCTAACTGGGCCAGGAAAGTAAGCTTCACCCTTTCAGACAGTGTAAATGATAGCGGAGGGTGTCACGCAGGCAGTTGGGATCTTTACACTGATTCTCATGTTATCAGAGGGTTTTGCTCACTGCACTGCCTTGTGAAATGCAGTCTGTGACCGGAGGGAAAGTGGTAAGCCAGTGGTAGAACTAGATTAAAACAGCAGTACGCAAACACGCTGACCTCTTCCTGAGCGGTAACCTTGAATGAAAGCTGATTCACTGGACTGATTTCATTCAGCTTGTCCATGAGAAAATAGAGCACAGCAGCATTGACTGCAACTGGCCAAAGCACTTGTGAGCTTCAGTGATCTTCATGGTGTTTGTTTCAGCTTCCAGGTCCTTAAAGATGTTGGCAATGTTATAATGTGGTATTACACTCGGAGCCTACAAAAAGGTATTGGCAAAAGGCACAATATATAAATGAATGTAAGAATTTATTGGTAGTCCAGTTACTATTTTAAACAGTATAATAGTCAAAATTACTTAATGAGTAGTGGAAGACCTCATTAAAAATAGGGGTAAAATTGCTACATAAAAAGTTCCCTATTCTCTGGCTTTGTGCTTATTCCTCCAGTGTTCCTTTAGGTCTTAAGACTGATACTTTGGTATCTCTCAAAAGGAATGGCGGAGTACTACAATGAGTTATCACCAGGAGGAGTGTGATACTCATGGGAAGGGGATGTCTTTCTCCTCAGTCTGGTGTCTGATTTAGTTTTATGTTTTCTTAACACTGTCAGCTTACTGTGATTAAATGACTTATTTGTGTCATCTGCGTCTGCACTCTTCCCCACAGCTGACTCTAGAGCTGTAGGCATTTCAGTCCACAATGAATAACCATTTGTTATTACCATAAACTAGAGTTAAACTAAAATTTAGTCCAGAGAGCCTCACAGCTGAACAATTGCTATCACAACTAAACCAAGTTAAAATCTATTTAGGCCCAGACAAACCCAGGGAATTTCTGGGTCCGTATACTATCATGTCAATACAAACCTTGTTGCTTTTTAATAATAATGGCTAAATCACATTTACTGGGCTATAAAGTCCCTTTTACTATGTAAATTGCAGAGTTCAGCAAGGATTTGCAAATCCTTCTGTGACTGCAGAATCATGACTGAGCAGTACATCTTGGAAGCATTCACACTTTCCTAACTTTTTTTGAATTAGAATAATTCAAGGTCTGATTGACTTGTATTTCTTCATTGCCATCAGGAGGCCAACTAACAAAAAGTGTTTGATTTTCATCGCCAATATAATTTGCACAATCAGCAGGAATACTGTAGTTATTAAATTGAGAGCTATAGGTTGTAGTGCTAAGTTAAAAATTCCTGTAGCTGCAGAAGACCATTGTGTTACCTCGTAAAGGTATAGGATAATTAAGAATACATGTTTGAATCTAAGACACGTCACACACATGCACACTCACAGACACTATCGGATAGGCTTTACACGAGGCAGTTCACAACAATTTCTGAAATTGGCTCTGTACACAAACACAGCTTGATCTCATATGTATATTTAGAGATTGATTAGGAACAGAATGAGAGATGTCATAGTCACATCTGTTAAACTTTTGAGCTAAGCAATCATCTGAAGACTGGAAACTAATATCTTCACATATCTATTGCATGTTTCAATGCTATTTGCTGACTTTCCTCTGAAAAGACTCACTGAATATTCCATTTTCTTTGACAGTCTGTGTTCACAGATGCACATTTTTAATAACAGAAACACTTGTTATACATTTCTAAAATTATCTGATCAGCTTCCTCCTAACAAGAACTTTTTCATCAACTTGATACATGACTACGTATTTTATGTATATGCAGTGTTTCCACCATGTGAAAAATTCAAGATGCTTTAAAATACCTCCCATACAATAGTACATAAGTATTTATTTTAAAAATATGATTTTTCCATGGCAAAAAAAAAAATACTCTGTTGATCCATCTTTTCTAGTGTGTTTTATAAGCACTCACAGTTTCAACCATACTTGTAAATATATGTATACTTTAATGTTACAAGTTTAGATATTAATATCTAGGTAATCTGTTAAGTGTGGTTACTTTCAAGGAGAGGACATACAGACCTCCTCATCTGGAGGGATCTCACCTTGAGAGGGCCACAACCTCCTAGAGCCCCTCTGCCAATATTTCACCACCCTCATGGTGAATGAGGTAAATAATTTTTCCTAATTCCTGGTCAGAATTTCCCTTGCTCTGACTTCTGCTAGTTGCCTCTCTCCTGTCCTTGTGCACCCCCTTGTGCACCTGGCTCTGTCTTCTCTCTAGCCTCTGGGGAAGTATTTTCAGACAGCAACAGATCCCCCTGCCCTCCTGGCCTTTTCAAGGCTGAAGAACTGCAGCGCCCTCAGCCTCTCCCAGCACGCTCCCTGCTACAGCTCCCACTGGAGTAGCACCAACAGGTTAATGTCTTTCTTGTACTGTAGGAGATACAGTAATTACATGAAAATTTTTCATTTATAACATCTGGTTTTTGTTCATATACTTACTGATAGTGTTAACACCCTTAACTTGTGCTACAGCTGTACTGTCTTCTTGAGTTTTGTCCTATTTGGTTTAGTTAGATGTGCTTCTACTTCAGTTCGTTCTTCTGAAGTCCAAATTTCTCCTTGCGCTGCCAGTTCTTCAGTTACCTCCCTTGCCACTAACCAGACAACCCATGTTTCAGCATGTTATAGGCTTTTCAAGAGAAAAAAATTTGCTTTTTTTACTGTTTTTTTCTTTTTGCAAAATATTGTTCTACTTTCTGAATACGTTGGCAAGAAGCTGGAACTCAAGGGTATGGTCCCCTCTGAAGAGCTGATTAACACACTGGTCTTGGACCAACAAAGTTTAGGAAAGAGAATACTTAGAGGAAAGAATCCAGGATTTTAAGATTAGAAGGGTAGGAGAGCTCTTCTGAGTTTGACTCTGCAAAATTTCTGACAGCACTTGGCTCTGCCATACTGCTGCATGGAGTGCTTCTGAGTTTCATCTGCAGTCACTGAGAACAGAGGATACTGTACTTACCAGAAAGTATTCTCCCTTTTGAAGGATGAAGCTCTTGAAGAACCCCCCCCACTGTTAGGAATATGACCTTTTCAAGTACTTAAAATTACTTAATTAGCAATATAACCATTAGAAAGAACAAAATCATTCTAGCAAAAGTAATAGATCTGTAATTGCAGGTGTTACAGAATGTAGTACAAAAGATGGTGTTTCCAAAATTTGTTTTTAAGTGTTTTAAGAGGCTGTATAAAGAAGGGAAGCAAGCAAGCTACCAGGTAGTGGATTACTTTCCCCTCGGTGTTTTTTGTGAACTAAGAATAGAGGGAACATGTAACAAGCATCTTGCTATTAAATTTGCCCATAACAAATAGTGCAGCTGCATGTAGTGTGCAAAAACATCTGCAGAATCACGACACATGCAGAATCCCCCACACTAAGAGCGTGACATTATACTGAAAACAATTCAGTTGTAGAAGCAATATAAATCCATTTTATATAATCTTTCTCCACCTTCTCCTCCCCCTTATCTTTTGAATCATGTTAACTACAGGATTCTGTCACTTCTTCACAGCATCAGTAAAAAAGTATAAAAGTGACTAAGCATTTCAGGATTATCTTCTTCTTTCATTAGCAGCTAGAATGCAAGTATATCTTATCTGAAGAAACAAAAAAGAAAGAATAACCAGTGGCAGAAATGCACTAGACACCAGAGCTTACTCCAAGTGGAACTTGACATCGTTTGCAGATGCAATTTAACTCTCAAGAAATCAAGGGGTGATTTTCTGTGTCAGCATCTTGTGTGGTTTTTCAGTTCAAAGTGATCAGTCGAATTGCTGCCAGTCTTTACTTCACCCATGTAAATGACAACACAAAGTACTGTGATATGTAATATCACAAAGTATTATGGAAAAATATGCCTAAAATATATAGATTTCTAAAGTAAGGGGAATCTCCTTACCTGGAATTTTTTGAATTCTCACAGTTTACCTTTCAAATGCAGCTATGGTAGAATTTGGTAAAAGTTCCTTTAAGCTCCACATTTGCCTTTTTCAAAATCCATGAAGGCTTTTCTTTTCCCCAAAATGATTTTAGCAAAACATTTGCTTCCTTCTTCTAAATATTCTGTTGTTTGCTCTCTGAAATAACTTCTTTGCAATCTTTAGGTTTTAAAAGTAAGAAATTTTATAATAGCAATGCAAATGCTGATTTTTGTAATGTTTGAGGTTGTCTAAAGGCTATGTGAGAATAATACCATGACAAGGCAAATACATGCATGCTATGAATGCCTGGATCATTATCAGCTTGTTTCTTTGAAACATCTTACATGAATTAAGACAGGTCAGGCACAGTAGCTACGTGAAGCTCCAAGAAAATTTCCTATGTTTTTATGCAGACTGCAGGTCAAGCATGAAGCTAGAAGAGCGAGCCAGCTTGGTCATAATTTTCAACTCTTTGCCCATTAAATTCCTGAAACCCAACTAAAAACACAACCCTTATGACAGATTCTTTTAAGGATTTTATTGATAGCATACAGTTTTAGTTTACTGACTTGCTGATACTCTTTGGTCAAGTCCTTTGCACTCTTACTTCATTCACCACCTGAACAAAGCCTTGTTTTCCTGTTTCAGAGAGACATGCTGTGAGTAAATGTGAAGGTTTTTAAAGCACTCTGATGATGGAAAAGATATACAAGTACAACTGATATTACCTGATCATATTTGCTTACTATTAAGGGTATATTTATCTCTTAATTGATTCCTCATGTAATAATATAATTATTTTTAACATCCACTTCCTGGTTTGCATCTCCGGTAACTGCTTGCACAAGATACACAGTCATGTGCATCACCATAGCAGAAAGGAATGTCATATGCCCTGCAATGCATTTATGGAGTTGGAAAATGCTTTTATTAACTTTTCAGTGTCCCCAGATTTCACATGGAGAGGCACACATCCAGTGGCCAGATGTAACTGCAATCAGCTGTGGCCACTCCAAGCTAAGAGTGTCTGAGCATCCTGCTCACTAATCCTTCCCCTGGTGGTGCTTGGGTTTGGTCTCTTGGGTGAATGGTTTAACAGCTCCTTGTAGTCTTGGAGTCCTGTGACACAATTTTTAACAAGTTAGCACAAAAAGGAGTTGTGGAAAAAATGACCCAGGGAATGCTACGTTTATATGGTATGTCAAATGAAGCACTAAAATTCCCCTCTTGCAGATTTATTTTTTATGGTGATTTGAAAAATTTTATTTTATTTTCCTCATGATGGAGACACAGTGATTCTTGAAGGGAAAACAAAACACATGGATATATTCACTGTGGATAAGTAAATTGAAAAATACAGATTATGAAATAAATACAATTCTAAAAAATAAACATATTTGGTTTAGACCCAAAGGAACCAAATTCAGCATGAAAATTACTATTATTGTAGCCAATCTAATTCTTCTAGTTGTTTTTCTTTACTTGTATTTCTGCTGTTGTGAGTCTTGTTGTTTACAGCTTCTCAGCGAGAAGAATATCCCAAATGAAATTACTGTCAGCAGCCAAAGAAAGTATCCATAATTCATCCCAAAGCACTGTCAACTTAATTTTAAAGTAATTTTTCTGCTTTATGAATTCAGACTGAAGTGGTAAGTTTGCAAATCCCTAAATCAAACCATGGGAAATAAAGGAAATACATATCTCCTTTTCAAATATTCTGATTTCCTCAAGTTTCATTGTAAGCATAGTTTTTAGTAATTAAATCTTCAATTACTAGAAACAGAAGAAAGAAATAAAATTGTGAACTGTATTCTGTACATCTGTACACAACACATCTCTGTTGTGACTCCAGAGCCATCTCCTGGGCTATAGAAAAGTTTTTCTAGATTTATAATAGCAGAAATTAATTTAGATTGTGTATTCCTCTGAGCACAGTGAGAAGCACATGTGAGTATTTGTATATCAGGTTCAGCCTACTGAGGTCTGTAAAAGGCATGCTGTGCTGTGAGGTATCCAGCATTTCCAAGTGCTGTTCTGGGGCCTGTGCAGGTGTGAGAGTAGTGCAAACACTCCTGAAGTGTCCTCAGTCAGGAGACTTTCCAAATGTTTCCAAACTGACCTCATGCACTGTGAGTAACACTGAAGCTGAGTCAAATTCTTTAGATCCAAGAGACCCATTTAGAGAACAGGTCAGGAAGCCTTCTATAGGGAATCAGTGAAAAATCTGGTGAAGCCTGTGTCCCTGAGTGCAAAAACAGCAGCCTGGCAGTGAGTGTGAGCATGGTCTTGTTTCTGCTCTTCTGCACACGGGGAAAAATCATGCAGAATTCATTGTCCCAGGACTCAGCTTATTGCCACAAAACGAGCAGAGCCTCAGCATGCATTCAGGCTCAGAACTGCAACCAGCAGTTACTGAATAGCAGCCACGTTCTGAATCTCAACACACCATGAAAATCCTCCTTTAATCAAATGCTCCCAGGGGAGCAAGAAATTCAAGATGCTCTTCCATCCTGGGCTGGTGCACACCACTAGGTCAACACTTGGCATAAAGAGCTTTCTGCTTGTCGATGCAGTGTGGGGGTGGCAGTCGGGGGGGACACTCATAACAAGCAAAACCAACAGGCAGCACGTAAGGTAACATGAGAACATGAAGGGAGCAATAAAGAAGAGGCAGAAGGTACAGTACTGAGTAGGGCACTGTGATGGCTGAATTCAAAAGCATTTTGCTTCTCAGCTTGAACTTTTTAATTAAGGAATTTCACAGTAATTTTGACTAAGCTTGAAGAGGAACAATTTCAGTGTTCTGGCTCACTAAATACTTTCTTGCAGTCTAAATAGATGCAAAGCTCGGAGCTGAAGGAAATCAGTGCATTAGCAGCACTTTCTTTCCAGCCTGCGCTGTAGATAAGTGCTGTCCTGTGGCAACCTTTTTGGGGTCAAGTGATTTAGAGAGCTTAGACAAGGCTGGGGTTCAGGATCCCTGTACTCAGACACAATCCTGAGTAGCACAGGCTGTGAGGAAATATTTTCTGACATTTACTAGAGGGGCAGGAGAAGGAAGGGAGGACTCCTGGTAGCTGTAGGAGAGACAGTAGGCACAGCTAAACTAGAAGGAGGGGAAGGGCTCAGGAATATAATGAGGAGGTGGGGGAAATGACACTGGAATAAAAGGGTGAGTATATAAGATACACACTCATCCTGGCCTTCCTCTGTTCAAAGCACTCCCTCCAAGGGTGGGTACAAGACTTGAATAGAGGGGATGGATGTCAAAATATTTCCATAAGGAATATAAGTGCAATAAATCAGAGAAAAAGGGCAGAATGGAGGCAAGGAGCAAATGGTAGGAGAATTATTTTAGTTCTAAGTGAATGATTATGTCTCCTGAGTGATTACACATCAGGATCGTGGTGTGTTGGGGAGGATTGTTCAGCTAGATAGAAAGGAGTGCTCAAATTGCAGTCATTGAACTGTAGTGCATGCAAGGGTACAAATAAGAAAAATAGACAAGTAAAAATCCAACTGGAGTCAACGTGTCTTGGGCACTGCAATCCTTGGGAGTTAAGGTAACTATCATACAAGGAAGACAGCTTTCAGAGGAAGCTACTTTGAGTACTTGCAGAACATAATCAGAGAGAGTGAGCTGATGAAGAAAATAATAGACTATTAAAAATACTTTGAACATAACTTGCAATATACTGGGTCCAGTACAAGATCAGTAATTTCTTCCAAGTTGTCTACCAAAACAGGGCATCCAGCAAGAAATACCTGCTGTAAGACATACACCTATAGAGTCATTCTAGTACCGGGATGGTGAAAGGCAGGGGACACAATGCCAGTGTGCTGTATCCCATTCGTTATACTTTGATGAATGTGATGTACTTTAGCAGAGTTGTTATGGTTGCTGGGGCATTAACACCTTGTGCAACATCAAGCATTCAGACAAAGAATAGTTGCCATGTTTCCTTGATAGCTCTGCATCTGTTTTTACTCTCACTAGCACTTGTAGGTGCCAAACAGTTCTTTCCCTTTTTGCATCAAATAGATAATTTATAAATCTGAATCAGATATAACTTTTATCCATTTATTCCCCAGTGCTGAGATTTGATCAGTATATACCAACAATGACTGTAAATGTAAGACCAGGGACTTCTTATGTGGCCATAGTCAAGCACTCCTGTCACTTTTCTATTTAGCAATTGTTGTATCTTCCGTCCACACAGTGACTGGATCAAGACCTTTTGTTCCTCGAATGGGAACCTGGAATATTAAAGGTTAAGTTTTAAATTCCTATTTACAGAAGCTGGTGTGTCTCAGCATTCACTTGTTGTGTTTTGTAAAAATAAGCAGCATCACTGGGAAAAATGTATTTCTCCTCATTTCACTCAGAAAAAAAAAACAACAGATGAGAATTCCTGCACTGAATGCAACAGTTCTTATTTTGCTTTCAAGAGGTTAGTGGGAATTTAGTTCTGGGGAATGTCTGAACTCATCTTTGCTCCATCTGGAGCAAGGTCAGCAATTACTATGGGAACCATTGCCAGTTATACTTTCAGGTGTTTAAAATTAGAGTTATATTGTTTTATTTACATGCTTGTATTTTATTTCCAGGTGTTTTATGAGAGCATGGAACTGCGTGTCACAGCACCTTTTCTCCATGGGTTGAGACTGTTGTAACACTCCAAGCTTCTGCTACCCACATACCCTCCACTGCAGTAATTCTTTGGTACTGTGGAGGGTCAGTCACACAGTGCTGATCAGATCATGTGCCACCTGTTATATCCACTAGTATATGGGAGTATAGCAAGGAAAAGAGAATAACAAAGCTTTAGTGGTGTGGTATCCCTGACAGTCAGTGTAGTAAGTTAAAACAAACTGCAAAAACTCAGAGCTATTTTCCTCAGCAGGTGAGCGTTCAGGGAGACCCAGAGCGCAGGGAGAGTTACTGCCACCAGACACATTCCCCCCCTTCCGCAGACTGGCATTCTGGCCAAAGTTAATGAGTCATAAGATTCTGCACTGATTTCACTGTGAGCTTCCACATTTGCATAAGTAAAAGCTGCAGCTTCTGTAGGAAAAGTCTTAGTGAAATTGCAGCACAAAACATTGATATTATGTAATTATAGTAGTTCATTGTAACTTAAATGAAATTGTTACTTTAAACTTGCTCTAAGTGGCTCACAATGGAACTTCATATGACACACCTACAAAACAAATGAGTTAATCACAATATGTGTCATTTTTAATTTTTGTCTTTCATTTTTCTTTCAGTCATTCTCTCTTTGTAATTAGCATGAAGACTACCCTTCAGTCAAAACTAGCCACCTGGAAAGTTTCAGCTTGTAATATGCAGCTTTTTTTGTGAATTATGAATGTGCTAAAGAAGAGACCTTTCTCCCCACACCCACTTCCTTGCATAATTCAAATATGAATGAATGAATTTTATTCAGGCTTGCCAAAAAATCATATTTCAGCTGATAACAAGCATGAAAAATTTCACATGAAAGGGATCCTTTTTTTTTTAAAGAATATTCTGAGCACAGGAGAACAGCAGGTTAAGACAGAAGTCTTAGTGCAGCCTTAACTATAACAATTGTTAGCAAGCAAATACTATATCCAAGCACTAAATTTTGCTTTGTGCTGCCCTGGTGCACAGTAGTGGGGACAGAATAGAATAATAAAAGCTGGTCCCCTTATGCAAACAGCAGAGCACAGCACTTGACAGAATACAAGAAGAAGGTGAGCCTGCCTACTGTTCTGGCTTGCAAGGTCTGTGGGTTAGTTGTCACCTATAGCTCCAGTCAGCTGGCAAATGTAGTTCAAACACTAGCAAGGGGCAGGTTTTTGGTCCTTTCCAGAAGAACATTTTACCAGTTCCTTGCCTCCAAATATACAGTCCTATTAAATAAAGTATTTGAAGGAAGTTCATATAAGAGTAACATGGTGGTTTAACAGGTCAAAAGGGGAACGGAATAGTGCTAGGTTTTTTTCTGATTAACTGTGTATTTTAAAAAATATGTATCTGTAAAGAAGGTATTATCTGCATCCCTCCCTTACCTTAATGCTTTTCAGGCAAAGCAGAATGAGATTTTGGCTCGTGCCGGTACCATTTTGAAAATAAACTATTACAGGAAAGAAAAGTTGCAATCTGGAACGCATTTCTACATTGCATTTTCTTTTGTTCCTAATACTGTTTTGGGGATAAGCCCTGCTCTCCTTTTCTACCCAAAAAACAGGATTAAAAAAACCATTCTAAGCATTTATTAAAAAACTGCCCATTGCAGTGGCTAAACAGTAGTGAATACTTCAGTATTACCTTACAGATTCCCATCGATTGGTGGATCAACAGAAGGGATTTGCAGATGGCAAGCAAAAAATACCCTTCTAGTCTGATGTGAGTTGACTGTTGTAAGTTGAGCTTGGCAGCAAGTGACCAAAATTGAGTTGTCAGCATCCTCCTGTGTAGTGGAAGAAGTTGTTGCTTTCTTGTGCAGATGCAAGAGTTTCTGTGGGAAAACAGAACATAATCACGGTTCTGAATGTCTCTGTGGATTGGTAATGTCTCTAATACATAGATCACTTTTGCAAATTCAGTCCCAGCTGGATGGGAAATTATTGAAAATGGTTGTTGTTTGATTGATATAAAATGAGTTGTCAGCTTGATTCAATACCTCCAGGGCAGATGTCCACAGCATAATTGGCACCTGTCAGAAGCAAAGAATTCCTTGGTACAGAGTAACAACTACTCATGCAACCACCCAAAGCAACCCTTGCATGCCAGGGCTCAGAAAAGAAGGCAAGAAAAAACAATTTCTACTTCTGAGAAGGATCTTTTATGCCATAAAGTCAATAAGAGATTCGACATGACAGTTGGTGCAAGCCTTTCCCTCAGATCCTGGCTAGACACTATCAGCTCTCTTGCTAATTCCCCCTAAGAATTAGAAGAAAACACACACATTTGATTATTTATTATAATTTCCACTGTAAAAGTGTATTTATTAAGAAGAGTCAATAAAGAAATTTTTACATGTTTGCTTATTATAAAAAACGCTGTGAACAATTTTATTTTCCCATTTCCTGAGCCATTCTCCACACAGCAATAACTTAGCCATACAACTAGGAAATAAGAGAGAGTGTTCTTAGCCAAAAATAAGGCAAAGAAACAACCAGGACTGATAGTACATCAGCATCAGTATTACACTCTTTGCTAATAGTAAACACTGACCTATTGTTTACCACGGACTGGATTAAAATGGATTTTTTTTCTATAAGTCTCCAAATAGCTGTCATATGGTTATTACTGCCTTTGACCAAATGCGATACAGCTAACAACAGGAATGGATTCAATTTCCCATCACCAATCTGTCAAGCTGGCCACCTTCTTCATGGAGCTGGTGATTTGGGAGGTACTAACTCAAGGACTTTCCACTAAAATTCATTTTACTGTCTTCATCTAGCGCATGGCTCAACTTTCCTTCTTTCCTTTCATCTCTGTTTCCTCCTTTAGATTATTTTTCATTATGCCTCCCCCCTAACATACCCACACTTTGCCTTTCATCTCTATACGTATGCTATTCCAGCACTTGTCAGGCCCAGCAGGAGGCACATGGGAGAACCAAACAATATGATATGTTAGGTGGAAGAAAATATTATTATCAGACACCTTAAAACAATCATTTATTGTCAAACTTTAAAGAGCTCTGCTTTGTTATTTATTTTATTATTCTGTATTAGGTACATGGTTTAGTTTTACAGGCATTATTAATCACTAAAATACATTACACTTTCAGCCAGGATGTTAACATTTTAAATGCATTCATCTTGCTTCTTTAAACAGAAACAATGGGCCTTCTGCACTGCCCTCCCTCCCCTCTAGTCAATAAATCCTTTCTATTGATTCAGGAAATAACTCTTAAGCCCTGTTTTATATTTTAAGTTCCAGTAGCCACACTCAGCCATATAATTTCGCTTAATAACAAATGGATCTTCTATTTTTGCTGCTTACTATGTGTTTGGTTATCAAACTCAGCTTGAAAGTACTAGGTAGAAGGGGACAAAACCTATAATGGCTGTGAGTCACCACAAGAGATTTCTTAAATGCTTGTTACAATAAAATAAGTATCTGTGAAAAGTCTGTCTGTGTGTGTGTGTGTGTATAAAAAGCAGCCTCATCAGTAAATGAATGATAAATGAAAAAATCCATCAGTGAGTATGGATTCCCTTGAGTCAGCCTGGATCAACAGACAATATGGATTTTTGATAATTCATGACTTTACCATTATTTATTCTCTCCTGAAATATGCACTGCAAATCTCAGAAATATAATTACAGAATTATCATATTGCTTAACTAAGTAGTGCAAATTGTATTATATTCTATTCTATGTGCCCCAACCCTGGGCAGTATCATTAGTGTTGTTTAATTGTTACAAATATAGTCATTGCATTTTAATAAATTGCCTTCATTGTCAATATCCTCAATCGACTTCTCCTCCTAATGTTCATGGATAGGTTAGTTACCAGGTAATCTTACAGTAAATATATAGCACAATGAAGCAAAAATGTAAGAAAATGCAAAGGTCAAAAACATGTTTCTATTATGAAAAAAATGAATGATAATGACATAATTTTTTCAGCTCATCAGGTTCTTTGCTAAGTGGCTCTGTTATTGCCAGATCAGTAGTGTATAACAAAGAAGTGCTTTCTGTAGGCTGCTTCATTAGCCTGCCCTGTAGGACCTCACCTCAGACCTTTCACTAATCTGTTGGCCAGCTCAATAGCCTTGTTAGTTCTATTCACTTCTTCCTGGCAGCGGATTTTCTCAGCTGTAGCTCTCTCAAAGGCAGTGGTTAAGGCAGCCAGGATTGTGTCTAGTTCCTTCAAATAAAAACAGTAACAAACAACTTTGGACATTGTAAGAACACATAAAAATACTTCTGCTGTCCCATTTTATGTTGCTGAAAGTTAAATTACATAGTGCAAGAAAGGTGTAAACATTAATTGTGCTCAGAATTTTGTCTAGGTCATGGTCCAAAGGTGATTCAGGAAAACCTGGGGAAAAATGTGGCTGGTTTTCTGCTTTCCCCCACTTGTTCAGAACAGCCTTCAAAATGAAATTACAAAATTGATCTGATATCAGTAAAAAAGGAATGTCCCCTGCTCCCTGAGGATTCTGGAAAGAAGATAAATATATTTCTTATTACAGCTGTATATCCTCTCTAGAAGATCAAAAACATGAAAAGGCAGCTGTTTGGAAACTAAAGAAAACAGAAGGGTTTAAAGATGATAGATAAAATACTTGAAAATGCACAAGTTGGTGTCCTTTGCTGACTTTCATATGCTTCCCAGTGCACAAACTGTTTCTGAAAACAGCCTGAAATCCCCAACCACCTTAGATTTAGGAGAAAGCAGCTCAGTGTCTGGTATATCAAAGCATTTAACCACACAAACAGTCCTACTAGGTCAAAGCCTTAGTTATTCCCAGAGGGAAGAGTGGAAGATAATTCAGCATGGATGACTGAGCAGGAAGACAAGGCAAGAGTGACATGCAACTCTGAGAGTCATGGGCAAAGCACCCAAATGACTCCGAGTGCAGAGGATGATGATCTGGCTGGGAAGCTGATAAATGAAAAGTCAGAAAGGTTCTGTAAGACCCCAATGTAGTGAGACCATCCAGAAGAGATGTCGTTGGGTGCACATGAACAGAGCAAGTGACCAGAGCCTGAGGCCCTTGCGGTATCCAGAGAAACACACGATTCCCTCCAGCAGCAGACTCAGCTCAGGAAATGCAGCTCTACTGAACTCAGTGGTATTCCCCAGGGAAAGTCAAAGCTGAGCACGGCTCCTGGAAAAAGTGTGTGTTTTATCCCAGCTGTGCTGCTGACAAGCTCTGCGCACCTTGGGGGGCACCACTGGGAATCTCCCAAGGGAAATGAAGGAGTGCCTCAAGGCACGCTATTGTCTCCTGCCTTGAGGACAACATGAGGTATGTTGTGTATTATAGAACATTAAAAGGAACTGTATGATGGGACAGATAGATATTTTATTGGGAAGGCTGGGAAAAATTTGGAGCAAATTACAGCCCAAGCATTTCTAAATGGGGTGCAAAGATACCCTTTAAAGAAGGGCCCAGTAGTTTTGCAGCACCCACACAGCTTAAAGGGTTTCAGGAGTGAGCAGAGCAGGGACACATTACCTCCTGGCTTCTGTGCCTCCATGCAAGGTGAGAGCAGGCAGTGCCTATGTCAGCAAAGCTAAGTGAGGAACACTGACCAAATCCTGGCTCTCCTGCCTGCACTGGGAAGATCCAGGCACTGACTGAGAACTCACCATGCATGCAGACAAGCATCCGCTATGGTTCCAAGGGACATTATATGGCTGCAGAGGCTGGGGATGTGGCCCAATCATTTACCTGAAAATTAAAAATGTTACTGAGTGATAAATTATACTGGCAAATGCCTTTGTCAGTATTACAATGAATTATGTGGGAAATACTGCTGACAGTGAAAGGTATTGCAAATAATTGAATGTTAGAGGCTTCTAAAGTGACAAAAATTTTTTAATACATCTAGTGGTCCTGACTTAAAGTTCATGTCCTTGAGCCAATCAGGATTCCAGTTTTCCCCAAGATTTCTGTCTCCCTCTCACTGCAGTGCACTCCTACAAAGCTTGTTGCTTGATATGTTTACACATTGCCTCTACAGAAATGAAGGTTGACAAATGGGTAGCAATAGGTCTGTCTGCAGATAAGATCAGGATCAGCGCTTAGGCACTGAACCTGAGGGGACAGAGAGAAGAAAAAAAAGAAGAAAACCCATCTGCTGCTCTGAGCATGGATGCTGCAATGCTCATGGTGGACAGCAGAACTTGCTACAAGCTTTTTTAGCGGGTTGTTCAGAAATTAGGAATGATTTTTTACTGCAGCCAGGATGAAACACATTGTGTACTACCCTGCCCTCAGACTGTTCAGTGTTTGGCAAACCTTTTCATAAAATAATATAATAAAAATGATATATTGGAAGCAAAAATTTAAGTGGAAAACAGAGACATAAAAGAATACATA